TGGAGGTCAGAAGTCCATATGGGCTCAGCTGGGTACTCTGCTTAGGGTCTCACATGGCCAAAGTCAGGGTGTCCATCAGACTGGCCAGGAGGCTCTGGGAAGAATCACTGCCAGCCGCATTCGGGTCACTGGCAGAATTCAGTTCCTTTCAGTTGTAGGACTGAGGTCCGAGTTCGCTGGCTGGCTTTCCCCCAGGCAGCATTCTCAGCAACTACAAGCCACTCTCCCGTCCCCTCCACGTGGCCGGCCGCCTCCATCCTCGGGCTGGCCGCCGCGTGTCGATCGCTCCTAGTGCTCTGAAGATCCAGCTGGCTCTGCTTTTCGAGGGCTGATGTGGTTGGGGGAAGTCACCCAGATAGCCTCTCTTTGGCCACGTAACGTCACAGAATCACGGGTGTGGTGTCAGGGCACACGTTCCAACCAGACCGTAAGGAGCAGGGGTGAGGAAAGGCTGGGGTCCTGGGAGCTCGTGCTAGAATTCTGCCCACCCCAGGGGAGAATGTCCTTTTTCTTGAGTGACACGTGCCGAAATATTTCAGGGTAAAGCGGGCATGAAACAATTTCCTCTCAATGGTTTAGAAAAATATTACCTCTATATTATTTATATATTATTCATACACATACACAGAGGGGGCAAAAGGGGGGAGGGGGAAAGGCACAAGAATGCAAGAGTGTGATAGGGCAAATGAGACAAAATGTTAATGATTGGAGTTCTTTGTATTATTATTGAAGCTTTTTAAAATTCTAAATTTTTTTATTATTGAAACTTTTAAAAAAGATTTCTACTTATTAGTTGACAGAGAGAAAGAAAGCATGATCAGGGGGAGGGGTAGAGGGGTAGAGGAGGGAAAAAAAAGAGGAGGGTAGAGGAGGGAAAAACAGGCTCCCCGTGGGGCAGGGAACCCCTCGTGGGGCTCGATCCAAGGACCCCGGGATCATGACCTGAGCCGAAGACAGATGCTTAACCGACTGAGCCACCCAGGTCCCCTATTAAAACTTTTTAATGGGTTTTAAATGCTACAGAAATGTACACCCTCCCCCCAAATTAAGAAACAAACGTGTAGTCTTTGTGTAGTAGTTAAAAATCCGGACTTCAGCTAAAGCTAAAGTTTCTCATCTCTCCCTCATCCTGGCCCAGGTGTGGAATCTGGAATGTTGTGGTAGGAAGGAGGAGGTCCTCCTCATCCTCCTCCTCCCCCCTGGGCTGGTTCCATGAATTCTGCTGTGTCCTGGGTGGGAACAGTGGTGAGTGAATGGGGGGAAGAGGTACACAGGAGTTTGACTTGACATCCCCTGTGGCTGGGACTGTGGAAAGCTGATTCTCTGGGTGAGTGTGGGTTCTCCGTGCCCCCGCCATCACTCACCACGGTCCCCTCTACACAGGTGAGCATCTCCTTTGCAGTCAGCCCCACGGGGGCTCATTCTTGGGCTCCCAACAGACAGTCGGAGGCAGAGTCCTTTGAAGTGTGAAGTGGCTCCAGGCTTCTCTTTCCCCCTGGGGCACATCTGGACCACGGAAGACATATCCTTTCCTTCAACAGACCCTGGGAATGTAGGCCGTTCCCAACATGGCCACCACGAAGTTGCCCATCTGTCAGATTCAGTCAGGCGAAAGCAGCCCACACCACCGCTCCCCATGATGGTGTGGGGGGCTCACAGTACAACTGACATCTCTTTCCAGAAACATCTCTAATATCCAGCTTCCTGACCTCTTCACTTCCAGTGCTCCTACTCCTTCTTTATGTCGAGGGCTAGGGTCACAGCCCCGTGTTTCGGCCACCCTCTTATCCAAGTCACGCCTCGGTGCTCTAGCTTTTGGATGGGGGACAGTTGGCTCCTATCTTATTAGACCTTGAGCAAAACAGGCAGACAGACTGACTCACACTTTAATTTCCTGTTGCATGTGCTTATCGCTGTTCCTGATTTGTTGATTTTACATGGATACTCCCTCTTGATTCCTACCATGGAAGGTGAAGATCCAGCCATCTTCTGTTACCCGGGGCCCCACTCTGTCCCTCTACCCTCTCAGAACAAGAACATCACACTTTCTTGATGAATTCAATGTAAATTGTTTGCCTGATTATGATTACTTATTTCTGATCAAAGTGGCATATTAGTATGATTTTCCTTTGTTGGAGGATGTTTCCCCCCCGAATTGAAATATTTTCTTATTTTTTATTTTGCTAGTTTTCTGTCTTCTCAATGATATTTTTAGTATTATTTTTAATTAACATATAATGTATTATGTGCCCCAGGGGTACAGGTCTGTGAGTCATCAGGGTTACACACTTCACAGCACTCACCATAGCACATTCTTCTCAACGATTCTTCCCCAGCTCTCCCAGGGAGTTATAAAATTCCTCTGAAGAGTCTTTGTGCCTTGATCAGGCATCGTGGGATGGATCAACTTCACTTTCTCTGGGGACATCCATTATTGAGTCCAGTCCTCCCGCTCTGTCTATACTGGTTTTTCTTTAGGCCTGCACAGCTGTGACCTCACACTTCCCTTTGTCCCACTCCCGTCCCCCGGATTCTTCCAGGTTTATATCCTCATTTCGTTGGAGCTCAGCCTCCAGGAACTTCCCAAGAAAGGGTGCATGGGAGGCATGCCTTACTCTGCCCTTAGAGTTGGAAGGTTGGGCATAGAATTCTAGGTTGGAAGGAGTTTTCCTCAGTATTTCGAAAACATTGCCTTCAGGTTTTACTGGTGTTGAGAAGTCTAAATGCCTTCTCATAACTAAATCTTTGAACACAGCTGATTTTTTCTACTCTGAAAGGTTCTAAGATTTCGTCCAGCGTTCTGAAGTGTTTAATGATATCGGTGATGTTTCACTTCTCGTCCTGGGCGTCTGGTGCTTCCCTTCGAAGCAAAAACTCACATTTTCCAATTTGGGGAAATGTTCTTGTAGGACTTCTTCTTACCGATTTTCTCTTTCTTTCTTCCAGAAAGTCCTGTTAGTTAGATATCAGACTTCTAAATTGAGCCTCCAGTTTTAGTTTATTTTTTTCTTCTTCTATTTTCTGCTTCTGTCTTTTTTGTTTACTTTCTTGGAGATTTCTCAAGTTTATTCTCTAACAATTCTGTTGAATGTTTTAATTTCTTCTATCATATTTTAATTTTATTTTATTTATTTATTTGAGAGAGAGTGTGTGCTGGGGGAGGACCAGAGGGGAGGGAGATAACTTCCAGCAGACTCCCGCTGAGCACAGAGCCCCACACAGGGCTCGATCCCGTGACCCAGCAATCACTACCTGAGCCAAAACCAAGAGTCGGCAGCCTAACTGACTGAGTTACCCAGGCGCCCCTCTTCTATCTTACTTTGAACCTCAAAGCCCCCGTTGCTCCTTTTGCGATTGACTCTCAACACTTTTCTATCTGGGAACATGACTTCTGCTTTTTAATTCTTTTTTTTTTTTTTTTTTTTTTAGTTCTGCTTTGTTCCCAGCAGTTTCTGTAGGTCCTCTGATCCCTTTTCCTACTGATTTCATGTTAGAGGCTTGTCTTAAATAACTATCCTGTGGCTCATCCAAGTTTCAGAGTGAGACCTTGAGAAACCTGGCTAGCGGCTCTGCAGGGAGGCTGGGGCTTGTGAAGACGCAGATTTCCCCACAGGTCTCACTGGAGAGCGGCAGGAGTCAGTGTCCTCTGCACCCCTGGGGCAGTGGGGAGTGTGAGAGACATTTCTGTTTCTCCAAAGACGACTTGCCCAAGTCCCCTGCTTGGGGTGGACCGCCGAGCCTGGGTGTAACCTTGGCTCTGAGTAATGCACGTATCAGAACACAGACTCTCTTCATCACTGCAGCCTTCTCCTTCCTCTTCCACCATCCCCACTCTCACTGGTCTAGAACCTTTCTGGTTCAGTTTTTCCAGGAGCTAAATCTCCATTCTCCTCGGGTGAGGGTGTGCAAAGGTGGTGGCATTCTCGGTTCCCCTGGAGTAGGTGGGAGGCCCCGGGCTGGAGTGGCGTCTGCAGACTGGGCACCTGCCCTACTCACCTGTTCCTTACCCGCCACCTTCCACCACTCCTGGCGCCTCCAGTCCCTGAGTCTTTTGGATACCTTGCAGTCAGACTCGCTTCTTTCTCCGTGCTGCCCCCTTTGCCGGCTTTTAGTGTTCAGCTCTGTTCCTTCTTCTCCTTTCCTTCTTCCAAAAATGCATTAACATTTCTTTGTATTATTAGTAGTAGTAGTACTACTCCTTGGCCCTCATCTTAGAGATGTTTTAAAAAGGATACGTGTTCAGTCTACAGCACTTTAACAATGTATGTAATTACATTTTTATTAGTGAATATACGGATACACACACGCACATGTAACAGATATAAATATATACATGCATTCACGTGATCCGAAAGCTGCGGGGTGACAGTGATGACTCTGGCCCCAGAAGCCACAGTTAGCAGTCGCTGCCATGTCCTTCCACAGAAAGTTTATGCACACATTCACACACATACCAAAGCACGTAAGTAGATACTGGTTGATTTTATTTTAAATCAAGAAAGCAATTTCTTTTCATACCCCTGAGAATATTTGTATCTTCAGTAAAGGGCAGTGCTTAACCCCAAGGCATGAATCTCTTCTAGTTGGATTTAAGACTCTGTGGCAGGTGCAGACATTTTTAAGGGGCCTTTCGAGTCTCATGTGGCTCTCCCTACCATCCCTGCCCTCTCCTGCTATTGCACCCCGTGTTCCCTCCCACGTGCACCTCCCTCCAGACGCGCTCAGCTGACTCCTGGCCCCCATGGCTGGCCCACGGAGCTGAAGCTGTGATTTATCCTGGCTGAGGGCTGAACCTGAATCTGACCGTCTGCGGGGTTTTAGGGCTAGATTGGCACACCAGATGGGGATGTTTTCATCGTGGCCCTGGCTGAGTAGACTTATTACGAGGTAGCTTAGAGGCTGAGCTGAACATTTCAGTTTCCACCAGTAGCTTCGGGTGGGCTACCTGACTTGATGGTTCAGAGCAGTGACCTCAGTGTGACTCTCCATCCCCGCGACAGGACCCGCCGCTGCCAAACCAAACTTGATCTCAAAACTGGAACGCCGAGCTGCACCCTGGATCAAGGACCCAAACGGGCCGAAGTGGGGGAAAGGTTGTCCTCCAGGTGAGTCTTGACCTACCAAGTTCTCAAGGGCACATCCTGGGGCCTATGTGGCCACAGCAAGTCATCCCCTATCCATTCATTTGTCCTTGTCCTGCTCCTGCGGCGCACCGGGCCTTGTGTCAGGCTCTGCTGGGCAAAGACGAGCAAGAAACTACCTCTGCCCTCCAAGTGTCAAGTAGGGAAACAGGGACAGTGCGGGACAAAGGGGGCCCTTTGATGAGCAGATGTGCTCACAGGACCCATGGTGGAGCTAACGGGGGCTCATGCGGGAGGCCTGGTTGTAAGGAGCTGTGTGACCCGCGGGCCTGGGAGCTGCCCTTCTTCCCTCCTCTAGTTTCCAGGGGTAGTACCACTGGTCTGTACAAGCTCGCTGTTCTGCGTCTCTTAGTCAGGGCTTACTGGCTCGCTCCTGCTGCGTAGACTCCTTTCTAAGGCTCATGAGACTTACAGATGTTTAACCTCATTTCTTTGCTGCCTCAAAAGAGGATTAAAGTCACCTGTTTATCCAGTAGCAGCTATGGCCAAAGTAGCTGATTAAGCTTATGAGCCGCTGATGTCACATGATCGCAGGGGGGCTGCGGGGTAGAGACGGAGAGCCCACAAGGATAGCACACATGTCCTCGGGAGCAGGCTGACTTGCACAGATGATAGTGGGGAAGGGTTTAAAGAGAAGTCACGGATGATCTCTAGAAAGGTAGATAAATCACACTCAACTCTGCTTTGCATGAGGGACACTCGGTAAATTGGGATGTCTTCACTGAGGGGAAGCTGCAGAGTTCTGGGCAGCAAAACCAAACACATTTTTATTTGTTCCAAAGGGAAGAAGAAGATGGGGACCAGAAGAGAGGCAGACACACAAGCCTTGCCTATAGACTCTCCCGTGCCTCCAGCAGCTCCTCTGGAGACACGTAGCTCCTACTGCAATTCCAGCCTTCGTGCAGTCGGAGCAGATGGCCCTGGGATGATCAAGAGGACGTACAGACCCCGTTCCATTCAGAGGTCATGGTTTGGGCAGTTCCCGTGGTTAGTAATTGACCCAAAGGAGACCAAGCTCTTCTGCTCAGCTTGCAAAGGAAGACCGAGTCTCCACGACAAGACATCCCGGTTAGTCCGAGGTTACACGGGGCCTTTTAAAGTGGAGACTTTAAAATATCACGAGGTCAGCAAAGCACACAAGCTCTGTGTCAACACTGTCGAAATCACGGAGGACGCGCCTCCCGCCGCGCTGGTCCCGGAGATGTCCAGCGACCTGATGGCGAGCATGGGCTACCTCTTCAACGCTGCCTACTCCATCGCGTACCACTCGCGGCCCCTGAATGACTTTGAGAAGATCCTGCAACTCCTCCAGAGCACCGGGACCATGATTTTGGGCAAGTACCGGAATCGCACAGCCTGCACGCAGTTCATCAAGTACATCTCCGAGACCCTGAGGAAGGAGATCCTCGAGGATGTTCGAAACTCGCCGTGCGTGAGCATGCTGCTGGACCGCTGCACGGACGCCTCGGACCAGGCCTGCGTGGGGATTTATCTCCGCTACTTTAAGGGGACGGAGGTGAAAGAGTCATACATCACCTTGGCCCCTCTCTACAGTGAGACGGTGGACGGCTACTTTGAGACCGTGGTCTCTGCCATGGATGAGCTGGACATCCCCTTCCGGAAGCCCGGCTGGGTGGTGGGCCTAGGAACCGACGGCTCCGCCGTGCTGAGCAGCAGAGGGGGCCTGGTGGAAAAGTTCCAAGAGGTCATCCCCCAGCTGCTGCCCGTCCACTGTGTCGCCCACCGGCTGCACCTGGCCGTGGTGGACGCGTGTGGGGGCATCGATCTGTTGAAGAAGTGTGACCGGCACATTCGCACGGTCTTCAAGTTCTATCAGTCCTCGAGCAAGAGGCTGAGTGCGCTGCAGGAGGGCGCGGGGCCCCTGGAGCAGGAGATCCTCCGTCTCAAGGACCTGAACGCCGTGCGCTGGGTGGCCAGCAGGAGGCGCACGCTGAACGCGCTCGTCGTGAGCTGGCCGGCCCTGGCTCGGCACCTCCAGGCTGTGGCGGAAGCCGGGGGCCAGACGGGGCACAGGGCCAAGGGCCTGCTGAAGCTGATGAAGAGCTTCCACTTCGTCAAGTTCTGCCACTTCCTTTTGGACTTCCTGAGCATCTACAGGCCCCTGTCGGAGGTGTGCCAGAAGGAGATGGTGTCGATCACAGAGGTGAACTCGGCGCTGGGACGGGCCTACGTAGCCCTGGAGGCCCTGCGTCACCAGGCGGGTCCCAAGGAGGACGAGTTCAATGCCGGCTTCCGAGAGGGGCGGCTGCACGGCATCTCCCTGGACAGACAGGAGGGGGCGGGGCAGTGCTTCCTGGCGGACCGGGAGAAGGTGGTCGTCACCGGGATCGAGTACCTCCAGCGAAGGTTTGACGTGGCCCGGCCCCCGCAGCTCAAGAACATGGAGGTGTTTGACACTGTGGCCTGGCCAAGTGGGCTGGAACTGGCCAGTTTCGGGAACGAGGATATTCTGGCCCTTGCCAGGTCCTTCGAGCTCTCGCTCCCCGCGGGATACAGCAAGGAGGCGCTCCTGGAGGAGTGGCTGGGCCTGAAAGCCATGGGCAGGAACCTCCCGTTCTCCATGCTCTGTAAGAACGCGCTGGCACAGGGCTGCCGCTTCCCCCTGCTGAGCAGGCTCATGGCCGTCGTGGTCTGCGTGCCCGTATCCACCGCCTGCTGCGAGCGGGGCTTCAGTGCCATGAACCGGATCAGGACCGATGAGAGGACCAAGCTCTCCAACGAGGTGATCAACATGCTCATGATGACAGCGGTGAACGGGGTGGCCGTCACGGAGTACGACCCACAGCCCGCCATCCAGCACTGGTACCTGACCTCCTCCGGCCGGCGGTTCAGCCACGTCTACGCATGCGCCCGAGTGCCGCCCCGCGCCCACGCACGTAAGCACCCGTGACAGCGTCTCCCGGCGCAGGAGAGCAAGGGAAGCCAGTCTGAGCTTCGCGATCCCACGCTGACCTTGAAGTCTGGAACAGTCTGGCAATGACAGCCGTCACCTGAGGCTTGGTCTCGGGCATCCCCAGTGGGTGCTCGAGAGGTGACCCGTGCCCTCAGCTTCTGATCCAGCCCCAGTGCGGGGTGGGGGGAGGGGGCGGGGGCCGCGCACGCGCACACATGCGCGCGCGTACACACACACACACACACACACACACACACACACACACCCCCCCCCCCCCCCCCCCCCCCCCCCCCCCCCCCCCCCAGCTGACAGGGCGTATCGCTTGGAGTGTGTATCTTCCGAGCTTGTCTGCCCCAGGCTCAGATTTTGGCTCTGCTCGCTGCTGCGTGACCTCAGGCCAGCTCACCTTGTGCTTTGGTGTTTCTCCAGCAGAGGGCATAGCATCTGGCACGTGATGCCAGTGGCACCCTGTGGAGGTCCAGCCCACGGCCCCAAGTAACCAGAGCACAGAGCAGGGGACAGGCGAGGGCAGCGAGAGCACGTTCTCCGCGGGCTGGGTAGACTCTTTCCGGAGGGAAGAAGTCAGTGCGTGCGACCAGGTTTCGGACAGGGCTGGGGCTTGCCGGGTGGGGAGGAGTCCTTGAGGAGCGGGGCCTCACAGTCCCCCCTGGAGCGCTAGGCTGGAGGGCTGGCGTCGGACCTGGCAGGAGGGGAAGCTACTTTCTGTGGCAGATGAGTTACTGATCTGAGGCAAGACATTTTCCTCTGTCCAAGTAGTCCTGGAAAACCAAAGAGGCTCTCCAGGCTGTTCACGTTTTATTTCCCAGTGACAGCAATGAAGTTTCTTCCTTGACACTTTCTTATTTCTGGAAACCTTCTAGCGCTTGTGCTCTCATGGGCTGCTGCCCGGTCTGTGGTCAGCAGGGGACCGGGTCTCAGGATTGACAGAGGCTCCTCAGGAAGCAGGGTGGTCCCGGCTCCATTGCTGGGCCAGACGAGGGGCCTGGGCTCAAAGTGGAGAGAAGAGACAGGGGGGACCAGGGTGGGGAGGCAGGCGGCACGTCCTTCATGCATGCATTCGCTGCATGAGTTGCTCCCCGTGTCCAGTCCCATGGGGGTGAAGGAGAAAGACGTTCTTGGGTGTGTTCTCACTGGCATAGTGGGCGTGGTACCCCTGAAGCAAATAGAGGACACCACCCAGTTTGATAGGATAAGGCCCTCCTTCCTAGGCAGGTTCTCAACCTCTGCACTGTCGGCACTGAGGGCCGGGTCACTCCTGGCCGTGGTGCCTGGCCTGTGCCTGGTGGGGTCTTCAGCATCCCTGACCTGCACCCAGTACACCCACTGGGTCCCCAGAGCACTCACCCAGTTGTAGTGACCAGAAGTGTCTCCAGGCATTGCCATGTGTCCCCGGGAGGGCAGAGTCGCCCTGGGTGAGACCCACGCCCCAGGGTGAGAGAAGACCAGAGCAGGACTAGAGCCGGCCTGCCGAGAGCAGCCGCCGTCCCATCTCTACCTGTTCTGCATGCCGTCCTCACCGAGCTTACCTTGGGGTACAGCTGATGTGGGAAGGGAATCGTCATCCAGTCTGTTCTCCCCTCGGTGTAATTGTGGGTTCTCTTTCCTCTCGCACAAGGAGCGGGGCTCAGGAAGGAGAAGACGGGGCCACTCTATATGGAGGAGGCTGTGACCCAGAAGCCACCCATTCCAGCCTACAGGGAGCCAGCGGAGATCCCGAAGGACTGCATTGCGGACCCTCCTGACAGACTCCTGTACCCCCATACCAGCCAAGAGGCCCCTGAGCTGTCCTGACAGAGAGCTCCCATAGGAGCAGGACTCCTAAGGATTGCCTTGGAGACCCCCCTGCTGCCCTGCCCCTTGGAATCGTGGTGACAGGCTCTCTGCAGAATGTAGGCTGCCTTAGAATCTTCCTTTGCGGGGACTCTCTAAGAACCAGGAAGTGGGCAGTGACAAGACGGTTAAGCCCACCTCCCAGAGAGGCAGGGTAATCAGGAGCACAAGCCTGTTTACCAAGGCCCCTCTCTAGGCAGTGGTGACCCCACAGCACTGAAACAGGCAGAAAGGTTCCCATCTCAGATTCATCTTCAAGGTGCTTCAGGAAATGATCCTATCAGGAAAGACATCACCCCATGTTCTGGGGGCAAGAGGACTTCTCTGAAATGGGAGAGACTGTTGGGGGTAAGGGCTAAAAGGAGCATCCCAGCCCCCCAGGATGGTGCCGGAGCATTCCAGGGAGGCAGTGGCACGGAGGAGGTGCCTGGGGACCGGTGGAGGGTGACCAGGCTCTGGGGACAACTGGCCTGGCTCTGGGATCTGTCACCCTGGCTCCACGGCAGACACAGGGAAGCCTCCACTACAGATGGGAGACTCACAGCAGAGAATTCCTCCCCCTCCTCCCAGGGCCTCCCTTAGGATGAGCCAAGCCAAACCCTCTACACAAAGCCCTCAAGAGAGGCCGCCTTCCTGTAGCCCCAGGACCACGGAGGAAAGTCTTTCTGGGGATGAGCTGCTGCCTCTCACCGGTGGCAGCCCTTCTGTGTGACCTGCACCAGGGCTGGACGTGAGCCCGGGCTCCGGAGGGGTGGGCACATGCACGCTTGGCCCGGGGAGGCTTGCAGTCCAGCCCCAGCTCTGCTGCAGGCAGAGGTTCGACCGTAATTAATCCCGTCCTCTTTTCTGTGCCTCGATTTCCCTCTCCGTGACACGGCAGCAGGGAATCCAAGTGCCTGCTGGCTCCTGGTCTGCAGACGGCGCCGCCAGCTCCCATAAAGACGCACATCGGGTGGCACAGAGCGGACTTAGCTGCCTTCAGCCCTTGTCCTTGTCCCTTACGTGGGAAGATGTGCTCCCTACATGTGCCACTCTTCCCAAAGTTGCTCTGGGACCCAGCCTAGGAATCACTAGGGGTGCTTGTTAAATATGGCCCCCCCATACCTGCCTGATCAGATCCGTGGGACTGGGGCTCAGGGATGGTGCATTGTCCGCAGGATCCTCCAGGAACTTTGTGGGCCCACTCAAACTTGAGGACCCCCACCCCATCTCCCCTGCCTCCCAGAAGTAAAGCACTTCCCCCTCCAGGGCAGCTTCATTTTAGGGGCAGGATCCGAGGCTGCTCACCTGGGGGGGATGATGTGGAGCCTAGGTCCTGCCTTCCCAACCATGGGTGGGAAATGGGGAGGTTAGAGGGAAAAGCTTCTTCGCCCCCCAATTTTTGAGTTTCATACAGGCCAGAAGTGGTGCTGCATCCCAGCCTCGCACCTGGCGACACTGTCCTGTGCTCCCAGTACAAGGTGTCTGGCCCTCAGCCAGCAGTCTGTCCTCCTCCCAGTCCTAGGGTGGTGCTGGGATCCAGTGTCCCCCAGTACCCGATGTTTCCGACTCTCCCTTCCTGCCACCCACCCTTAGCACTTAGCCTTAGTGCCCTCGCCTTCCTGTTTTCAGCTGTGGGCTGGAATTCGCCCTCACTCTCCACCTTTAATTTAGCCTGTGGAAATGTCTCTCTCCCAGTCCCATGGTCTGGGGTCTGAGGTATACCACGGGCCCCTGCAGCTACAGCTGTGGCCACCCCATGGAGATAGGAGCCTGGCCCTCCCTCCCCCATCCATGTAAGGTTCTATGGGGAGTTCAGGGATCTGCCCGAGGCTAGGTGTTGTGGGCGTGAGTTGGTGGGATGGAAGAGAGAAAGACCCTTCAAAGTGGGGGTTGTCACCCTACACCCTATTCCTAGATTCCAAATTGAGGTCACTTTCTGGCAAGCCTCCTCCCCATGGCCTCTTCCATTCTTTAAGAATCCTCAGAGCATGAGGCCAGTCCCTCCAGCAGTGTTGTGTGTGAGTTCCACACACACAATGCCCTGTACCGCTCTAGGCACGGAGGTGGAGGCCAGGTAGGGAAGCATCTGGCCTCCACATCCATGTACTAAGGAAGACCGCACTGCCAGCTTTTGAGAAGGCTGGGCCCCTTGGAGGAGGCGACTAAAAACGCTGTTTGTCATAGAGATTTGCACTATCCACATTTCTCTTGGGGCGCAGGCGTGCTAGCTAATGGCGAAGAGGACTAGCCACCTTTTTGTGCAGGACCCAGGGCTGACACGCGGTGATCACCAGCCTGAACTCTGTTTTGTTTCAAGACACTCCCTGCATTTCAAACCCAGCGCCTGGAGATGCCCTTGTTGGAGAGCCATCCTATTTTTGCCTTGCAAGAGAGCAAACTGAAGGGCATGGGGAATAGAAGGGTCAAGGCGCTGGCCAGAGTCCTAGCTACGCCTCCACCCTCTTTCCCTTCCTGTATTCTTCATAGCATCTCCTCTGATCCTGGCATCCCCCCATCCCTACCGCCACCCCATAACTGCAGTCCACAGCGTCTGACCTTCTGAATTAACCGGCACTATAACAGATGGTTGATTCCAGTAGCCATAGAGACGGGGCAGGAGGGAGGGACCTCAGCACCACCACCCCCGCCCCGTCCTTGCCAGACCCCTCAGTGTAATCTACTCCCGACCTCTGCTTCTCTCTCAAGCACATGTGGAGTTCCTAGGGTGCTAAGTATTTGGCAAGACAGTGTGAAGATTGGCCAATTGCCTGGTGCAGGTGTCCGTCAGCAAGGGATGCTCAGGGCGATTGGCAAGGGGAGGTCCTCTCCTCTTCTGGTTTCAATGAGGTTTAAAAAACCATGTTTAATTCTCAGCATTTTGCTACCTGAATAAAGCTGAGTTTATTTGGACACACGTCTCTGCCCTGTAAGTCCTGCGGGTCATGCGGGTCAGAGCTTATCAGAAGCTGATCCAAGCTATCTAAACCCGGCGGCTCGGAAGGCCCGCCCCCGCCGGAGAGACGCGCTCGCGCCTGCGCGGGGCCGACTGCGCGCGCTCCCGTGGGCCGCCGGGTCCTGCAGCGCATGCTCGGCGCCCACGGACCGTCTGGGACCCTGCGCACCCGAGCGTCTGCAGTTCGGCGCTGCACCCCAGCCTGGGCAGCCCGCGCCCGGCCATGACGGCTCATTCCTTCGCCCTCCCGGTCATCATCTTCACCACGTTCTGGGGGCTCATCGGCATCGCCGGGCCCTGGTTCGTGCCCAAAGGACCCAACCGCGGGTAAGGATGGCGCGCGGGCCCGGCCTCCCTGAGGACCCCTCCTCGGGCGGCGGCGGGCGGTGCAGCGAGCACTGGGCGGAGGCCCGCCGGGCGCCGCACTCCTGCTGGTCCGCACTGGCCGCGCGCAGTTCGGAACAGGCGGGCGGTCGGAGCCAAAGGGCAGAGCCCGTGGTGCTTTAGAAAGCTGGAGAGCCGACTGACACGGGAGGCAGTTGAGGTCCCCCTCCTCTCCCAGCCAGTTATGCTGGAGGCCGTGGCTGGCGTCTGATACGGTTTGCCCACCCCTCGCCGGCAGTGACCTTGAGCAAGTGTTACCCCTTCACGCCTTCAAGCCTCGCTTCCTTCATAGGTAAAATGATGCTGATACCTGCCTTCTAAGGCTGCTGTGAGGGTTACCCCAGATGATGCTTGCAAAACTCGTACCAGCGCGTCGCACGTGTTATGTATTGAATAATTTTTAGCCGGTATTATTGTTTTTTGAAGGGCCCCTAGCAGATTTCTATATCTGTTGCACCGTTTATCAGCGTCTGCATCATTTTACCCTCGGTTAGGAAGTGCTGTCTCCTCTTGATTACGATTTCCTCTGGGTGAATTGTCTCCTTCGCCACGGTAGATCCACGAGGCTTAGTAATGTGGAAGGAATGTAAATTACAGAAATGTGATTTTCTGGCACTTTCAGGTGCTTTAGACCAGGGGTCCTGGGGCCTGGTCTGGATTAGGTTTAGCTTTGGCTGGAGGCTGCTTGGACGTATGGGCGCGGTCTCTGGTCTTCAAGATCTGCGGTGCCCAGGGTCCCACCACATCACTTTGCGAACCATTTTAGTCTCTCACCACTCCTGCAAACCCTGGTGAGTTCTGTCTAACTGAAGTCTCTCCTGCTGCATTTTAAGCTTCTGTCTCCAGTCCTCTTTGTGTGGACACAGGTAGCTCTTCCCTGCTCCCTTTATAACCACTAACGCTGCCTCAGAAATGACTCACGAGCTCCTTGCCTCCTGCCAGCTTCTGTTTTCCATCCCCTTGCCCCATGAAGTTTGGCTCCATGGTGGGATGCTACAAATGCAGCTGTGGGGGAGGGGCTGGGGGTGTTACACGAAGCTGGAGAAAGAGTGGGTGTGGAGAAGGAGGTGAAGGGAGTTGGTAACACAACTTGGGTGTGGGCAAGATGTGTTTCCCCTGAGGTGAACGTTGGAGTTTTTATCTTCTGTCTTAACAATTCTCACCCTGAATAGAACTCAGCCTCCTGTGTTCAGCGGCATCAGGAAGGGGCAGGAAAGGGGCCAACCCCAGGAGCTCTTTCTCTGGCCCTGGCCAGGCCTTTGGAGGGTGCTGATTCCACCCATCCTGACCTGACTGACTGTCTCTTCCATTGCAGAGTGATCATCACCATGCTGGTGGCCACCGCGGTCTGCTGTTACCTCTTGTGAGTACTACTCTCTGGCTCACAGTCGTCCCTTCTCTCCCTAGCCCCCCTCTCCCCTCTGTTCTGGTGGTGACAGATTCCACTTCTTAAAGGCTGAGTCCATAAAGCCTGGGAGAGAAGGCGGTTTGGGACGGCAGAGAGAGCGATAGGCTGGAAATCGTGGGCTCTGGGGTCCACTTCCAAATGTGTCACCTGAACAGGCTTTGTTCAGTCCATAGGCTGCAGTGGGCCAGCTGGGGCCAGGCATCAGAATCTCCTGGAGAGAGTATAAAATGCAGCTTTCAGGCCCACGCCCTAGACCCACCCAATCACAGTTTGCAAAGGTCTGCACTTTGGAGTCCGTATTTTTAATACCTGCTCCTGGGTGTCTGTGACACAGTCTGTTTTGAACCACCAGATGGGCGGGAGTCTTCTAACTTGGGACAGGGGGGCCCTGGGGATGTCGAAGAAGAATTCCAGGGCATCCAAGGACCTGGACAGGGTGAGGGAGTCAGCATTCAGGTTCCGAATGTCCAGATGTTCTCTTCCTAAAACTGCCATTCACCGTAGCCCCTCCCCCATTACAAAAAAGGACACCTCTCCTTCCACCCAGGCCTTTCACGTCACCTTGCTCCATGTTTAAATCATCCTACCTGCCAACCCAGGGAATAAGGCCAAGTTCTGGTTTTGAGGAAAGCCCCTCCCGTGATCAGTCAAGCCACGTGAAGCCTATATGGCCTCCCATCGTCCTGGGTCCCAGCCACTCTTTTTGTGGGTTAGGCTTGACATAGCTGGGGTGTTCTGAATTCTGAACAGTCAAAATAGGACAGGTAAGAGCAATGAGCTACTGATTCTTCGAAAGGTGACAGATTGTTTTAAAGTAAATGGAATAACAAACCGATAAACGAAAGTGCCTAAAGGCTGCCAAATTCGTCAAAATGCATAGCATAAGGCCCACCCTTAAAAAAAAGTACGTGACTGCTTTCAGATTTGGGTTATGTTTTGTAGTTAAAACCTGTTTTATAGGGGCGTCTGGGTGGCTCAGTGAGTCAAAGCCTCTGCCTTCGGCTCAGGTCATGACCTCAAGGTCCTGGGATCGAGCCCCAAATCAGGCTCTCTGCTCAGTGGGGAGCCAGCTTCCTCCTCTCTCTCTCTGCCTGCCTCTTTGCCTACTTGTGATCTCTGTCAGTCAAATAAATAAATAAAATCTTAAAAAAAAAAAAAACCTATTTTATCTAATTGGATCACAAACTATATATTCCTATTAGCTAATTCTGTCCTTTCACTTTATCTAATGTTAACGATTTTTGACCTCCTATGAACAACAAAAAAATTAAACTTGTTAAAAATAATGATGACTCTTAGATGTGCCCTTACATACATGGGAGTGTACGGTTTTTCACAGTTCTCCCCAGACAGAGCATCTCTAAGACCCGTTGTGCTGTTTCCCGGTCCTTCGGGGATTGGCAGAACGTCCTCATCGGTCCCAAGGAGGGTCTCGGAGGGGCTGGGGTTTGCTGGCTCAGAGACCGGGACGGAGCGGTGGTGGCTGGGAACCGGGCCATGCTCAGGCTGTGCACGATTACAAACACCGAATGGACATCTGGGGAAAGGAGGCTGGCTTCTGAGCCGGGGCACCGAGGTGGAAAAGGGGGGCAGCTTAAGAGAATGCTGGGCCTGGAAACTGTGTTTGCAACACATCAGCTCGGGGATAATGCTGATGACAAAAGCCATGGCCGGGTTGGCATGTGACCAGAGGCAGAGGGCAGGGTCCTGCCGCGTCCTGGCTCACCCTTGCTGTGCTGTCCCCGGCAGCTGGCTCATCACTATCCTGGCTCAGCTGAACCCCCTTTTCGGGCCGCAGCTGAAGAATGAGACCATCTGGTACGTCCGCTTCCTGTGGGAGTGACCAATGCCGCTTCGGCCCCAGGTACCGGGGTCCCAGGCCGTGCGGGCGGGAAAGGGGACTGAGGTGTGGGAGAAGAGCTGGCAGGGCAGTCATTAGAGTTCCTGTTCACTTTATTTTATTCTGTTTTTTATTTGAGAGCGAGATCACAGGCCAGGGGCGGGGGTCGGGGAGGCAGAGGGAGAAGGAGTAGCAGGGATCCCGCTGCGGGACTCGATCCCAGGACTCTGGAATCATGACCTGAGCCCCCAGGTGCCCTAAGAGTTCATACTTAGACTCAGGCACTCATTTACTGGGCGAGAAAAGACAAAGACGCAGAGCACCTGAGACTGTCCCCGCCTGGTGCCATGCAAGGCGTCAGGGACTGAGGGAAGACCAGGCTCCTCGGGCAGCCAGTCAGGCTGAGCCATGGTGGTGCAGACGGGGGGGCCGGGGTGCAGCATCTCTTCTGGGTGAGGGAGCGTTGGGGCACAGGGCCATGAGACACTGACCGGCGAGAGGGACAGTTGAAGTGGGCCGAGCGGCTGAGGCGGAGGCAGGGACAAGGAAGTTCTCCAGGGAGGACGTGGGGTGGGGGGTGGGGAGGGGGCGTCTCCACAGCCAGGAGGTGACCTCGTCATGTGATGTGCTTTTCAGGTGCCCCAGCTCCCTGGATGACTTTGGCTGTCCTGTCCCCGACGACCCCTTTGTCCCCCCCGTCACAGCTGTATCTGGGTCCCTCCCTGGCTTCCTCCCCCAGGACCTGCCTGGTTCCAGCAGCTCCTGCCTTCCCCATCTGGTCGGGCCTCGTGAAGCCCAGAGCTGAGTCAGGCTGGAGCAGAAGACACCAGCCCTCAGACCCTCCCTGCTCCTCCCGAGGAGACCCCGGCAGGAGCTGACGGGGGTGGGACTTGCCTTTTACCAGTGAGGCAGCCTGTCCTGTCGAGAAGCGGTGTCCAGCCCAGGATGCGCCAAGCCCAGGTCAGGCTGGACCAGGGAGAAGGCCCCGGATGGGGAGTCGGCTGGTTCCCTCAGCTCCGCCACGGTCCTGCTGTGTGACCCCAGGCAGCATCTCTGCCTCCAGGGGCCTCCTTGTCTGTGACACGGAGAGACCCGATCAGGGTGTTGCAAAGGCCTTTCCTGGAATTCTTTAATTTTCGGATAAATGTGAAATTTCTTAAAAAGTTGAAGTAACGGAAAAAACACACGCAAAAGGCAACATAGTGATTTGGATCAGGATTGAAACCAGTATGTTTAGGATTCTTTATAGTCCTAAAGTCACTTAAACGGGCTTGCTACGAAAGCTGTATCTCCTTAGAATATCCTCTCCCGCCGCCTCCGTCCCTCCTCCGCAGGGAAGCTCCGTGCTGTCTGGAGCTCTGTCTAAGCCCGGCCCCAGGCCTGGAGTCCCTCACCGGACGGCAGGGGAGTGGGTTTCAGAGCCCCCTCCCCCCAGTGGCAGCAACTAGGTCACCTGGAGTCAGAGAGGCTGAAGAGAGACAGGCGTGGGTGAGCTTTGGGTGCCCCTGTGGCCCTTTGGGCCCGTCCTGGCCCCTGACGCCCACACCAGACCTGTCCGCCCCGGAGCGGCCTGAGCTCTGCGCTGGGAAGGGGAGGGTGGCGGAGCGCCAGCGGACGAGGTCTGGAAGGCAGAACATGCAGGCACCAGACCAGAGGGAACCCAGGACCCCCACCTGTGCCCTCCTTCCAGGAGATTTGCAGCTGAGAACTCAGGCACCCCGCACCCCCAACCCCTGCCGCATTGCCCCCCTGGGGGAAGACGCCAATCTTGAATATTTATTGACTGTATTTATGTGATGCACGTTCCGTTTAGTGGGCATTATCTTTGGAACAGTGGTCAGTTGTGATGCGTCTCATAAATTTCTTGGTTCTGGGCTTGGCCTGTTGCTCAGAACTCTGGCTGGGGCCTCCCTTTGACATCCCACTGCACCCCCTTTCAGACTCCCTTCCTGTCCTGACCTCTGCGGGCCTCCTGGAGTGGGGGATGTTGAGTCTGGGTGGTCCTGAGAATCTGATTGCATCCAGTGGCTCATGAAGGTGGCCAGGTCCTGGCTGAGGCTGAGTTTGCTGGCTGTCGTGCCCCTGTCCACCTGGTTCCCACGTGCTCAGTGGGTAGACTGGGGGACACGGGGATGGAGGCTTGGAGCTGCAGGTCTGGATCGTGGACACTGGAAATGACATTCTCCTGAGACCTGGAGGAGAAGGTACAGCCATCCCGGCTTCTGCCCAGAATCAGTCCTGGCAGAAGGAAGACACAGGAATGTTCCAGCAGAACTCTGACCCCCACTCATCTGTACCCCAGATACAGAGCACGCAGCCCCTGAGCCTGGGCAATAAAGCAGGTCCCCAGATCTCCAGAGTGTGGCCGGCCTCATTGCTGAATACCTGAGCGCACCCACCTGCCTGCTCCCGGGCAGTGGCCAGCCACCTGCAGGGGGCTGGAACCGGATGAGCAGGAAGGACTGGCCCTCCGGGGCCAGGGAGTGCAGTTCACGGGCAGGGGGTGGGGGGCAGTATTAGAGGTTTGGGGGTGGGGAGGCATGGGGACAAATGAGGGACTAGACCATCAAGGGCCTGGACACTCTCTGAGGAGCTTGCATTGATCCAAAAGGCAGTGCAAAACCACAAAAGGGTTTTAAGGCAGGGGAGTGACATGACCCTATTTGATTTCTAGGATGATCTCTGTAGGGTGTTCCATGGGAAGGAGCCTCTTAATAGGGTGCCTGGTGAGACGACGGAGGCTAGTGGGCTGATAGAAGGTCTGGTTAGGGCTGAAGGTAACCAGCCTGTGGGCTGTGGGAGAGGGGAGGCAGGATGGGTGTGGATGGCTCCGGGCTGGGGGTCCTATGGGGAGCGATAGAGCAGGGGGTCTCTGGTCCTGGTGGCTGGCCAGGCTCCATGAGGGGCCACAGAGGAGCAGGCTTCCGAGGGGAAATGGTGGCCTATGATTCCCTTTGTCTCCGGGCAAGTCAGATGCGCCCCGGGCATCCACGTGGAGATGTCCAGTGAGGTCCAGTTGAGTGGGAGGAGGTGCCAGTCTTCAGCATAAAATAATGTGGTCCCTGAGGCCACAAGGTGGAGTGAAGTGTGAGACAAGGCTGGGAAGGAGCCTTCAGGGACACCAGTGATGGGGGACAAGCAGGTAAAGATACAAGAGGTCCTCGGGGAGGCAGGAGGGGACCTGGGTGCCTGTAATTGTCACAGAGTTCCCAGAAGTGATTCAAGAGGAGGGAAGGTCCCAGGCATCAGAAGGCCCCCTCCTAAGAAGTCAAGGGGGTGGGGAGAAAGACAACTGACAATGGGACCCTCGGAAAGACCTAGGGACATAAAGGGAATGATACAAGGAGGGGACCTTCTTGGGTCGCCTTTCCTGGGTCCCTGCTGGTCAGGCCCTGGGCCTGGGGACATACCCTGTAAGGCTGCATGGCATCTCCCCCCTGCTGCTGTAACTGAAGCTAGACCCGGCTGCCTGGGACTCCTGCTGTCCCTGCGACTCCCCCTTTAGGGCCTCAGGTCTGGGATGCTGAAGATCACTGGCCCCAAGGCCCCGGGGTTGGGTGTAGGGGGTGGCGACATGTGGTTGCTTTCCCCACTCAGTTTCCCTTCCCTGGCTTCTCAGTTTCACTGGGATGGGATGCTGCAGCTCCTCTCAGACCCTCCTGGAGGTGTAGCTGTCCCCCTGTTCAGGTGGAGTCCTGGGGAGCGTCCCCTGCTCTCTAGGCCACCTCTGAGCAGCTTGGGGCTGGCAGCTCCTTCCCCAACTCAGTGACTTTCCCACTGATTCCTTCCTTTCTGCCCGCGCAGCCATTCAGGGACAGAGGAGAGCAGCCCAGACCGTGGGTGTGTGACTCCCTCCCAGGATCTGGTGCTCCCCCCACCGCTTGGTGAGGACTGTGTTCCTCTCGATGCCTCCAGCCCCACACCCATGGCAGAAACTGCCAGGTGAGCAGGAATTGTCCAACATAAACACAGCCAGACATCAGTTAAAGCCGTGAAGGCAGGTTTTATTCTGTAACTGCTGACAGCAGGGAGATCCGAGCTCAGTTCCATCTGTGCTGAGGTGAGGGGCAGTTAAGGGGAGAACGAGGGAGGAGGGAGGGGTAAAGCGGGGGCTCAGGTAGAGTCGGGAAAGTGGGAAATCGCAAAGGGTTGGTCAGTGGAAGGGCCACGAGGTCAGCTGTGTCTCCCACAGCCACTGGACCGAGGCCCGGTCCTTCCTGATTTCATTTTGGAGGAAAGAAGGGCATCTCTGGATTGCAGGAGATCCATACACCCATGTCTCACGGGGACAGAGGAAGGATTCAGGATTGGAAGCGTTTTTTTAAGTAAATGCTCTAAGAAAGGGCAGAAGGTCAGAGGTGTGTGGTCGGGTACTGGCTAGAACGGACAGTAAATTCTTCTGACAGCCCAGAGCTTTTTCGAACAAGAGTCCAGTGGGGCTCGGCTGTCCCAGGGAATCCAGCCTTGGGCTGCCTAGAGCCATGCCAGGCTGGCTGAGTCTGGGCATGGGGTCTGGACTGAAGCATTTGTGCTGAGATCCCGTCTTTCATGGTCAGTTTCAAGCACCCACCACCTGCCACCTGAATGGCAGGTCAATTAATGTCAGCCTCAGACAGAGACGCTTGGAGAACTCAGTCGAAGCATAAGAAACCTACGGATGGGCAGGGGCAGAGAGTAGGATAACCCTGCACCATACTTCGTGACAGAGTGGGGAGGGAAGCAGCCTCAGAGCCCTGGGACGGGACAAGCCTGGAGAGAGGACCCAAGGCGGCCAGGGTAAGCGAAGCTGCACGCACTGAGGGTGGCCGGCAGGGGGCAGTGCTCCAGCGAAGGATGGAAACCTCCAGAGACGTTCATGCCACCACGGGCAGTGCCTCCAGCCCACGTTAGAGGTTGCGGCCTTAGAACGGGGCTGTTAGTGGGTGGCAGGGACAGTTCCCCAGAGGAGATCACAGCCTGGGTGAAATGTCCTTTAAGATTATGTAAGCGCGAACACTGAAAAAATAAAATTAAAAAAAAAAAAGTATGTAAGCGCGACCACGGCCCATGTTTACTGAGCAGTTGCTTCGTGCCAGGCACTGCTTGGGAAAACCAAAGGGCAAGGAGCTAAGGACCCTTGCCAGCTTGATGCTGCTGTGATGCCAGCCTTCCAAGCCATCTCCCACCTCAGCATCCCTGAGAGATCAGGCATATTCCAGGCTGTAGAAGGGATGCCCCTCAGCCCAGATTCAGAACAGGGAAGAGGAGGTACAGACGGAAGTGTACCTTTACCGCAGGCCACAGAGTCACCCCTCCTTGATGAAGACCCTCACTTGATCCCCTTGGTGAGTTGTAGTTGCTTGGAACGGAATCAGGATAGTTGGTAGCAATGGGAGTGTGAGGAGCAGAAGTGAAAGCCAGTGGGAGGGCTTATAAGCTCCATATCTGTGTGCTGGGAAATGACCTTTGTTTATAAACCTTGGGGTTTCCCGGATCAAAGTCATTTGGCAGCCACCAGAGGTTTGCTTCACATGTAATAGCAGAAAAGTGAGGGCGGACGGCCAAAGTCTAGCCTAACCCCGACCACTTTCTATTCGTGAACCTGCCATCGAATGCCAGGATCCAGCCAGGCAGCGTACAGCAGAGTCTCTGGGGATGGAGTGAGGGTCCCAGACTTGACATATGCACTCCGGGTGCTTCTTAGGCAGGCCTACACAGGTCTGGGGGCTGGAGTTTTTGAATCAGGTTCGAAGACGATCCACGTAATAGCATTATCTGATATGCTTGAAAATGCAGATTCCTGGGGCCCATCCCAAAGCCTGCTGGATTAGAATGTCACAGAGGAGACAGGATTTTGCATTTTAAACAAGCCTCCCAAGGGTTCTTGTGCTAGCTGAAATCCTCTAGGACAGGGTTTCCTGACCTCGGCCCTCTCCATAGTTCGGGCTGGATAACTGTTTGTTGGGGCAAGGGCTACTACCCTGAGCTGAGGATGTTTAGCAGTAACCCAGACCTCTACCCACCAGATGCCAGAAGATCCCTGCTCCCAGCTTCTGGTTGACAACTATCTATGTCTCTAGCCATTTTGAAATGTGGGCAAAGTCCTCCCCACTCCTGTATTGAGAACAAGTACTCTAGAATCTCAACCACTCAGGGAATTGAAACATTTTTTTAAAAGATTTTTATTTATTTATTTGACAGACAGAAATCACAGGCAGAGAGGCAGGCAGGGGGCGGGAGCAGCCTCCCCAGTGAGCAGAGAGCCCGATGTAGGGCTGGATCCCAGGACCCTGGGATCATGACCTGAGCAAAAGGCAGAGGCTTAACCCACTGAGTCACCTAGGTGCCCCGGAACTGATACATTTTAATCAGTTTAGCAACCCAGAGCTCTTGTAGAAGGGGATTGGAAAGCTTGAGTGCAGCTGGTATCCTGAGCGTTGGGTGTCCTGTGAGCCTTTCCCAGCAGGACCTGGAGGTCCTGACCTGGAGACCACAGCCTGGGGAGAAGGACACACTCAAACTTTAGGGGATTCTTGGGGATCTGAGCAGACCCTAATGCCAGTGCTGTGCAGTCCAGCAATAAGCTGGTGGCTCATCAGAGACCAAGAGAGTGGGGGAGCCCTCGTGTTGCACTGAGCTCAGCAAAACCTTGAGCTCACCCTGCCAGGATCTTCCCTGAAAATCATAGGTGGGATGTTTGGAATGCATGTTACCAGAAACTCACGGGAACTACCGCCTTAACTCCTTAACCTCGGGATTAAGTACTATGACAGCAGCAAGGCTCTTCCCTTCTTCTGAAAAGAGGTCAGTCTTTCAGGTCAAGGTCAGCCCTGAAAAAGACCTGGGAGACCCTGAGGTGGTAAATCTCTGTACCAGGCCTTCTGTGGCTCACACAGCAGAAACATTGGGCCTGGAAAGATAAATGCAGATGCTCTTGCCTTGACCAGTTGTGATACCAGGAGCAACAGCTGTGTCCTGGATCTGTAGGATTTGATTCAGCAGGCATTCTTCTCTTTATTTACCCAGCCTCCCAGAAGCCCTCCACCTTGCCTGAGTGGCTCAGCTCAGCATCAAGGTTGAGAGTGCACAGTCAAGACCTGGGGTGCCTGGGTTCAAATTCCCATTCCACTGACGGTTAGCTGAGTGCAAGTTTATCTTCAGGATCGTCAGTTTTATTGCTCAGTTGGTATAGTAAAAATAGGGTCTGCCTCATCGAGATTGTGAATATGGGCCAAGAGAATGGATCAAAAAGTGACTGGTTCACCAGTAAGTGGAAGCCATAAATCACATTATTTTATATACGTTAGTTCCATGCCGCTCTTTACTCTGCCAGAATCTCAGCTGCCTTTGCCTGTTTTATTCCCATCACAGAAACCATCTGATCCACTTTGTGGAAACGGAAGTGGCAAGCACTGTGAGCCCTCTGATATATAATAGGCCCCGGGAATTGCGGGCCATGAAACCTGGGGCCTGTTTATGTTATCTTTATTTCTGTTTCCTGTCAAATGTTCATGACATTACACATGCAGTATCAATGAAAACACTAAAGATCTGGGGGGAGGTTACTAGAATACACGTGCTTATTCTAAAGTTCTCAGGAGGGGCGCCTGGGTAGTTCAGTCATAACCCCAGGGTCATGGGGTCCAGCCCTGCATCCGGCTCCCTGCTCAGTGGGGAGCCTGCTTCTCCCTCTCCCACTCCCCCTGCTTGTGTTCACTCTCTGGCTGTGTCTCTCTCTGTCAAATAAATAAAACAAAAACAAAAACAAAAGTTCTCAGGAAAAAATAAACATGGCAAGAAGTAACCAGGAAATTACTGGAGAAAAAAAAAAAAAAGACAAAAAACAAAAAACAAAAACCCACAGTATTAAGGATACTCCCAGATATTTGAAAGTATGATATAGTCATGATTTGCAGAATCACAGAAATGAAAGCAATGCAGAGAGACATCTCTGAGGCACGGAAAGAATCAAGAAAGATTAAAAATGATTCAATAAAGTATAAAGATGAGTACTCTCGTTGCAGAGGTCCTGATTTTAGCCCAACCTGGAGGACTGGCCCAGCTTGGACTTGACTTGCTTGGGGCCAGATGAGGGGCACTGGGAGGAAGGGGCAAAAACCGAGACCACCCCTGGGAAGATGGATGGGTAGGCCTGCCCAAGGCCCGATAGTGACCCTGGCCTCCGTCCTATCCGTCTGGCTCTAGAGGTGGAAAGAAGCTCAAGGGAGTCCGCGAGACAAGACGTGGGCACTTTGGTCGGGGGAAGGGTCCGCCTCTGCTCAGCCCAGGGAACGTGGCCTCTGTGCCCCTTAACAATTCAGTTTGGGGAGGTGGTGGAGAGCGCCCCAGGGCACATGGGGACGCACGTCCCCTGCGCCGTGGGCGAGGCCTTCGCGACATCAGCAAGCAGCGGGAAACTGCCCCGGGAGACACCCTGGGAGGGCTTCCGTAAGGCCGGGTGAGCCTTCCAGCCTGGAAGACACTCCGACGGCAGGACCATGACGGTTGTTGCGGGCCCTTCCGTCTGTGCGCGCGCACCAGTCGCGGATCGCCCTCGAACAGAGTCCCAGGGCGCAGGGAGCCCGGGTCGGACAGGACCTTGGCGATCGGTTAGTGGGGGAAGACTAACACCGCTAAGTCAGCGCCATTAGATTAGTACTGAGCAGTCCCAGCCTCTGTGATAAGAACGCGCGACTTCCAGCCCTACAGCCGGCGCGAGCCCATCGCTTCCGGCCGCGGCCGCCGCGCCTGCGCACTGGGGGCTGCCCCACCCCCCCGCCGGAGGAGCGTACCATCCGCAGGCGGGGGTGGGTGAGGGTCGCTCCCGGAAGTAGCCCTTGCGCGTCCCGGAACCCGAGCCCCTTCCCCCGGCTCCGCGGGGCCTTTGGCGCCTTCCCGAGGCTCTCGCGGTGGCTCTCGGGAGAAACGCGGTGGCCGGCGGAGTGGCGGCAGGTCACTGCCGGCCGCAGTGGGGCGGTCGGCTGCGGCGGGAGCCGCACCTGGCTTCGCGTGCCCGGTCTCAGCGGGCCTAGGTAAGCCGGGGAGGGCGCGTTTCGCTGCCACTTCACGGACCGGGGCGCCCAGGCCTGCTCTGCCCCGCCCCGCGCCTGGAACGGCCCCGGCTGTGTCTCTCCCTGGCCAGCTGCTTGCCAGTGCCCAATGCCCTGCGCCTAAAACACGCCGGATGAGGCAGCCCGTACTGGCCAGTGGTTCGTGTCCAGCACCGTTCTGTGCCCAGGACAGCCGCGGAACACTCGATTACGTGTTTGGGCTCCCCTACCAAGCCCGGGAGGTGGGTGCTCTTGTCCCTGTGGTGTGGCTGGAAAAGCCGAGGCGCGCTAGTCCCGGCTCGGAGCTGTTGGGTGGCAGCCAGGATTTCCGCCCACGCACACCAGCCGCCGACCTCATGCTCTCGCTCCGTTATAAAGCAGCCTCACGGAAAAGAGCGAAGGGTTCTCCTGGTGTATGCTTTAAGACGGGCCTCATGTTATGTCACTTTTGCATAATGTGAATTCCAGTGATGCACCCTTATTACTAAAGACAGGTCACATAGGGTTTGCATGTGAGTCAGACCCCAAAAATACATAGTGGTTTTCTCTACTTTTTTCCTTCCACATGTGCCTGTCCTCCCATTCTTCTCCTCACCACCTTCCCTCTCCGCACAGTTGAGCGGGTGAGGGCATGAGAAGCCGGGACTGGAGGGCCCAGCAAGCCCTTTGCAATGTGGGGTCTGGGATGGGTAGACAGTGTAGGAGCTGAGACAGGAGGGGGCCTGCCGATTTGGCTGGGCGGTGAAAACTCAAGAGGAAGGTGTGGGATGCCCTGGGTGGACAGAGCTCCCCTCAAGCCTCTGTGGTGAGGCAGGCACGAGAGCAATAGAGAAGTGACTCCTTTCCATGTGGGCATGCACATGGGAAGAGGGATGCTAAGAGTGCTAGTCCGTGCAGGCAGCACACATGTAAGTGCTGGGGCACCTCCGCTCTCGGGCTCAGCCAGCACGTTGCTGCCTCCGGACATGGATGGCTTCCCCTTGGAAATCTGTAGGCTCCAGAGCAGGGACTGCCTCACTTCTCCCCCAGCCCGCACTCGAGGGCTTTCCTGGTACTACAGCCTGCCTGCCTTCTTTGCTCTCCGAAAAACTAGATTTTTTTCTTGTCTCCAAAGATAAACCCACTCACCGCCCGTGCCCTACATCCCTGACCTTTATCTGGCACATGTACTTGCAAAGGCTTGTTCCAGAAGAACCTCACATTGATATATTCAAAAGTAAACTGCGTTAGTAAATGGGATCACGAGAGAGTCCCTCTCTATCCCCTGGTTCTCCTTCACCTCGGAACTCAGGCATAGTCTGCCTCCTGACTAGCTCTCCAGACTGTCCCTGCTGCCCCCCATCCTGCTGCTGTCACCTGCTCCCATCCTCCCCCCCCCCCCCCCCGCCTCCCGGGACCCCGCAGCAGCACTCCTGCCTGCTGCCTGCTGGGTACCCCAGGGGTCTCCGTCTTGTAGTTGCCCTCCGATGTGCATTTGTCCTCTATGGTGAGAAATGTCACCAGGAACTTCTTACTGATAAACTACTGGGGTTTGGGAATGATTTTCTTACCAAATTTTACATTTTAGATTCACGTGGAGGCTCCCCACGGCACCCGCCTCGTAGTCATCATCCTATGTGCCTCCGTGGAAGGGAGAGTGGTGGTAGGACTGTGGCTGCCGGTGACTGCACAAGACCCCACCTCGACCCAGGGAGTCCATCAGGAGTTGGGGCTCCTGGAGCGTAGCCTTGGGTAAGTGGTCCCTCACAAGACAGAATCTGAAGTCCAATGTCGTAGATTCGGTTTATCTGTAGGTCAGCCCGAGGCCCGGCCTCCATGGCACCACACACCGCTTGCCTTGCTCTGGCGCCATGGGCCCACTTCAAGTTGTTGTCTTCTCCTGAGCGCCAGTGGGGCACTTCCTCTCCTGTACTGTGTCTTTAGGGCACAGTGCTGGCTGTGGGTGGGCCTCCGATGAATTCCTATTCAACAGTCAAGTGAATCAGGAGTGTTTGCAGAAAACAGGTGTGCTGATGGGACAAGGCTAATTGGAGAACACAACAGGATTGGCACGGCCCTAGCTGCAGCCCTAACACACAGGTCTGTCCCTTTCCTTGGCCGTCGCCAGTGAGGCAGGTCTGGCGCAGGCCCAGTTTCCCCAGCCTGCTCTGCGTTCCCCGTGGGGTGCCGCCTACACACTGCTTCTGGAGGCCTGTGGCCAGCTCTGCTTTTCCGCTCTGCCATGGACCATCACAGTCCCACTCTGGCTTTCCAATTCTTTTGTCCTAAAATCAGAGCTGAGGTCAGCCCACTCCAGTTCTGACATCTCAGGGCATGTGGGGGGCTGGGATGGTGTCTCCCGCTTCAGTGGAGACCTCGTCCAGCCCGAGGTGATGCCTTTGGCCCTTCGGAGACGGGGGCTCAGCGTGAGCATCACGTTGCCCACCCTCCTCCACGGGCAGAATCTTCCTGGCGCTTTTCAGTGGGCTTGTTGCCTACAAAAGCAGGCCTGCCCTCCCTGGTCATTCTTCTTAATGTTCAACATCACTCAGTGTCAGAACATACTGGTTCTAAATTTTCTGGTTGAGTCTGTATGTCATTCTGGTGTGAAGAGACGAGTCCCACTTGCTTTCCGACGTGTGTGGTGGGGCTGTTAGGTTACCTTCCGTGGAGTCTCCCTTTGTCCAGAGAAAGGCCTTCTAGCACTGGGCTTTTCCTTTCCTTTCCTTTCCTTCTCTTTCCACGTACTTCTCTCCTGGCTTCTTCGTGTCGCTTTCCTGTCAGCCAGAACCTGCATGTGACCTAATCTCGAGGAGAACGAGCAAGGGAAGGGAGTTCAGGGTTATGCCTCGGCTTGGGGTCGGAGCATCTGGGGGATCAGCTGTCCCGTCGACACGATTGTGGGGACTGCAGGAAGAGCAGGTGGGAGAGGGGAAGCTGAAGAGAAGGCTCCGAGTCAGACACAGGCTCATGTCAGGGTGCGAATGTAGCCCCAGTCTGGGAGGGTGTGCAGGATGAGAAATGGGGCAGGGAGCCTGGGCAAAGCAGGAAGGAACAGGCGGGAGAAAGAGGGGCCAGCCCAGAGACTGCAAAGAATTTGCAGGTAAGAGGAAAACCAAGGACATGAGGTGCCCCGGGGCCACAGGAAGATGCGGTTCCAAACGGAAGACATGGCCCAGCACCCCAGTGTGGGCAGGGGAGCCCATTGGAGGAGGCTAGTGGCCTTGTCAGGGCAGCATCAGGGAGCGGCGGAGGCCAGAGCCAGACGAGCAGGCTTGGAGGGGCGTGGGAGGTGAGGACGTGTGAGCAGCCCTGCAGGAGTCTCTCTGGGACAGGGAGAGGGGCGTGACAGGACCCTGGGGACGTGAGTCGCTGGCATTAGGGGCTGTCCTGTTCTGTGCTCCTGTCCCGTGTTTCCTGGTGCAGACGGACTTCTGGAAAAAGAATTTCAAAAGATCTAGCAAGGCCGCTGGCTGCGTCACTGCCTGGTATGTAGCATCATGACTTGTTTCTGCTGCCCTGCTGGGTGACAGGTTCAGCCCAGGGACACGGGACTCAAGAGACCTAAGCTCTACTCCCTTAGCCTGAGCTTACAGCACCTGGCGCCTGCTCCTCTTCCAGGGAGACCTGCCCCACGTCTTGGCAAGATCCGTCCCCTCCTTGGGGTCTCACAGCCGCAGGTGGCGCTCCTTCACACTGCTTAGCAGCTCGAGCTTTCCATGATGTCAGCTCGGATCTTCACATCTGTCTTGCCAGCCAGCCTGGAGGCCACGCGCACACAGGGGCTTTGCTTGTCTTCTGGTGTATCCGCAACAGAAGAAACCGGCCGAGTGTGCCAGGTTCTCCGTAAACGTGGAAAGGAAAGAGAGAAACCTCAGTTAGCGTGGCCTGCATAGACGTTGAGCCCTCTGAGGTCCAGAGAGCTGTGGGGGTTTCTGTCTGGGCCACTCTGTCCGGTGTGCAGGAGCAAACTCTCCACCCTTCACCAAGGGTGTTACGGCTTGAGAGTTTTGTCCTGGGACTGGTTTCCCAGGATCTCCCTACGCCTGCATCCTCTGCTCGCTCCTCTCCCCTCCAGCCTTGCCTTCCCCCTCATGGTCCCCAAAGCTGAGCGGGGCAGCTGAGAGCCGTTGTCTTCATCTTGCTTTGCAGCCTGGACCCATCTCCTCATTTCCCCCAAGTTCCCAAGCATGTTGCCAGTAGGAAAACCCAGGAAGCCCCACAAGAGACATACAGGTTCAGGCTCAGCGGGCCAGGAGCCGCCTCTCTGTGCAGACTCCTGCATGACTGGACCCAGGAGCCTGGCTGCTCCCCTGACTTCTCCTGGCTCCAAGTTTCACACCAGAGCTACCAGTACCGCTCACGGACTTGGCTGGGGTGCTGTGGGGCGCCTGCTGGAGACGGAGGTTAAGCTAGAGTTTGTAGATACAGAAGAGAGGGCTGTCAGTGACCACAGGAAAACTGGGTCCTCTGTCTCCCCGAAAGGGAGTGGACGGGATCCGCCTCTACAGAGGAAGAGACCTCATCCCCTCCCCAGTTCCTCGTCGGTCCCGTCACCTGACCAAGTGCTCCTGGGAGAGCAGGAAGAGGGCACCCCGGGGCTCCATGTCTACAGCGAGAAGAGAAAATCCTGCTCCCAGGGGAGCCCCGATCTTCACGCCGCGGCCTCCCACGTGAAGTGCCTGGCCGGCCCTGAGTGGAATAAGCCAAAGGCAGACTCTGGCCTCTGTAACCTCAAATCTGTGCTTGGGCAGGAGCCCCCTGGGCAGCCCGAGAAGAAGGCGTCCAAACAGAAGGCACGTGGACAGAGAGAGGATGGGGAGCCCACACTAAAGAAGTTGAGAAACCCAGCGCTCAGCCCGGGCCAGTCCCCTGCGGCCACAGCGCCGGTCCAGGCGGCCGGTCTGGACAGGTCCGAGGTGGGCCAGCCCCGTGAGAGCGAGAAGGTGAAGCAGGCTGACGTCCTCATAGCCCATCTGGCCAGGGAGGTGCGCCGCCTGAGGAGGTGGAAGAAGAGGCATTTGCTCGCTGCTGTCGGGGAGCCGTCGTCCCTGGAGAGCCTCCAGAAGCCGCCGTGCCTGAAGAAGCTGGTCAGAATTCTGAAGGCAGAGACCAAGGGCTGGGCTTTCCCTAGGCATTCCCCCGGCCGCCTGGACACGGCGGGGCAGAAGCCAGCGTCCGACACCAGACGGCTGTTCACTGCTGACTGCAAGAACGTCTGCCACGTCACCTGCCCTCGCTGTCATGCTAGTGTCCCACACGGCAGATGGAAGGGCCGTTTCCAAACCTCAGGCCTGCTCCATCACTTGGTGGGTAAGCACGGGCTGGAGAGAGCGAGGAGGCCAGCCGCAGCCAGCCCAGGGGAGAAGGGGGAAGGGACCAAGGAGAAAAAGCACAAGGGCCTGCCCGCCAGCGCCGAAGGGCTCCCGTCAGCAGGACACGGCCCCGGTGCCTCCACTTCGGGAGACAGTGGCCAGCAGCTGGCCCCGGGCACGCCTGAGCCACTGTTCCTGGCTCCGCCCCTCTTGCCTGCTTCCACCAAAGATGAACCTGCTGCTCTCCCGCTAGCGGTCACGGAGGGCCAGGGTGACCCCTGCGCCCCCAGCCCGCCCCGAGCCCAGGCCTGGAACCGTAGCATCGCAGAGCTGCTCTGTAGCCTGGCCTTGCCGCTCTCCTTTGTTTCGTCCCCGCCTTTCAGAAGGTTTATGGCCCAGGCGGACCCTTGCTACCACGTGCCGCCTCCAGCCTTCTTCTCCAATACCGCGCTGCCTCTGCTGCACGCGGCCGTGGACGAGCAGGTGTGTCGGGAGATGCGGCGGGCCGAGGGCGGCTGCGTCCACCTCACCGTGTCCACGGCTGCCCGGGACTCCGCTGTGGACTACGTGGCCGTCACTGCCCACTGGGGGGCAATACGGCCGGGCAGTCGGCAGGGGGCGTCGGAGAGCCGCAGGAAGCGAGCCGTGCTCTGGGTTCGAGGCCTGTCCCAGGAGAGCACCGCGGAGGAGAGGCAGCGGGAGCTGCGGGAGCAGGTCAGCCTGTGGCTCAGCCGCACCTGCCTGCAGCCGGGCTTCCTGGTATCCGGCAGCTGCCTCAGCCTGGAGCAGGCCGTGAGGACGGAGGGCTACACCCACCTCCCCTGCTTTGCCCACTGCCTCGACTCCCTGGTGACAAGCTTCCTGTGTCACCATCAAAGCGTCCAGATCATCCTGGGGACGGTCAGGGCCATCTGCAGTCACTTCCACGGCTCTGCCAGGGCCAGGCAGCTGCTGACACAGCTGCAGCGGCAGTGCGGCCTCCCGGCCCCGCAGCCCTTTTGGGAGCTCTCAGACCACTGGGTGTCCGCCTTCCACCTGATGGAGTGGCTGGTGGGGCAGCAGCGGCCGCTGCGGGAGTACGAGGAGGAGCACCAGCTGGGCAAGGCCGGCTCGGCCCTGTCGGCCGTGTTCTGGAGCCTGATGAACAGTCTGGTCACGCTTCTGCGGCCCTTCCAGGTGGCAGTCCAGGAGGCGAGCACGGCTCGGGCTTCTCTGAGCCAGGTGCTGCCGCAGCTCCGCTTCCTGCACATTTTCGTGGAGCAGGTGCCCCAGCACTTGGAGGAGCAGGGCGGCGTGGAAGTGGGGGCCGCCGTGCGGCTGGCCAAGGGCCTGGCCCTGCAGCTCACCACAGATCGGCAGCTCAATGAGCTCTTCCACCGCGAGGAGTTCGTGCTGGCAACCCTGCTCGACCCCCGCTTCAAGGGCCGGATCGAGGCCATCCTGCCCACAGGGGCCGACATTGACCACTGGAAGCAAGTTCTCGTGTACAAGGTGAAGGAGATTATGGTGTCTGAACACCCCTTGCCTCCCTCGCCCTCCCCGCACGGCCCCCAGACCACGCGTGCAGGTGCTACGCTGAGTGGTGGGGGAGTCAGAAGCCTTGGGGCCGAGGGGAGGGGCCGGAAAGAGCCCGCTCGGAGAAGCGGCTCTGGGTCTCTGCTGCTGGGCCAGAAGGAGAGGGGCTTGCTGGAGCAGCTGGAGAGTGTGGGGCTGCTGGCGTCCAAGAGAAGCGGTGCCTCCCTCGCCACCGAGAGCCACCTGGCCAGCATCATCGTCAAGAAGTACCTGCGTGAGAATGAGACGATCGGCGCCCAGGAGGACCCCCTGGTCTACTGGGAGAAGAGGCAGGAGGTCTGGCCGGCCCTGGCAAGACTGGCGACTGTCTATGTGTCCTGTCCCCCAACAGGGGCCTTCTCTGGAAGTGTCTGTGCCTCCCTGGGCAGCCCTGCTCTGGTGCAGCACAACACTCCTCTCCCCGTGGGGACCATCGAGCGTCTCCTCTTCCTGAAGACCAACCTGGAGAATTTCCCCAACTACACCGCCCCTCCCCTCCTCTTCCCCCAGAAAGACCTGGCCGAGGGGGAACAGGCCAGCGAGGCTGACCTCTGCCTGACTGTCTGAAAGTCTGCCTGCAGGAGAGCTCTGCCCGGGCTCGGAGGGGAGAGCAGACCAAGCACTCCAGGCTGTTAGACGGGGGTGTCTGGAGTCCTAAAGCTGTTGGAAGGAGTGGGGAGTTTGTTAATTCTTGACAGGTTGCCTTTTGCCTCCGGGGAGATGTTGTTTTCCGTCCAGCCATCGCTTAATTTGTTTCCAGCAGTTTGGGCATAGAAGAGGTCACGTCTGTCAGGAGGTGACTGTAAATCGTCCTGCGCTCTAAGCCTCAGTGCCCTTTGCCATTTGTGTGGGCAGTGAGGGCCCGTGCAGCTTGTCTCTGTACGTGACATGCCCTTAAGGGCCCTGCCTTCTCAAACAGCGACCAGGGACTAGAAGAGGCCTGGGTGCTGGCAGGTGGGAAATCTCAGCCAGCGAGGCCCGGTAAGCTAGGCAGCCTTTTCCGAAGTTGGCTTTCGCTGTAGAAGAAGCGTGCGCTAGAGCAGCCGTGTTAAGAGGGAAGCTTATGCACACACGCACACACCGGTCTTCCTGGGGTCGGTACTTCCTCGTGGATCCCACGGTGGCCAGAGCACCCCCGCCGATGGGACTGTCCAGCCAGGACAGCGGATGGAACCGTGGTTGGTTTCCAAACTGCTGGAGGCCCTGGGGTTTCTTCCTTTCTACAGTGAAAGTGGTCTCGGGAAGAGCTCCACGGCTGTCCAGGCTCTCAGTAGCTTCGTTTATCCCCCACCGCCACCCGCAGCACCCACACCTCCCTGTCTTCCCGGTCACTTGCCAAGTGCAAACCCCCCGCCTGGAAGCAAGGAGAGATGCGTGTGAGACCCACCGGAGCCAGACAGCCCAGGGGGCTTGCAGGGCAGGGTCGGAGCCGGTGGGGTCAGGTGAGGAGAGACGGAAAGGGAGAGGCTGGAGGATCAGGGCAGGCCTGTCACCCCGCACAACGACGCAAGCCAGGCTCTCCTTAGGTGCTCGGGCACCGGAAGGGCGGCAGTCAGAGGGAAGGTCGGTAAGCAGAGGTGGGGCAAGGCCCTTGAGGCCCAACTTGCTCTTGGGCCCTGGATGTGGGGGCCAGCCCGGGACGCCTGTCCCCTCGCCTCCCTTGGAAGGGTCGGCAGTCCTGTGTCTCTGTGAGTAATTCACAATAGGACATTCGGAAGTCACCGAGGATGTAAGGAAGCGAGCAGGAAAAATTAACCAGGATCCTTTCACTCGGACAGGCTTGCTAATAACTGGACATCTTTTTTTAATCTTGGGATCATATCCTCTGTCCTATTGACTGTGTTGTAATTTCATAATTGCTGCATTTTGTTTCTTAAATAAAGCCTTGTAAGATCATATTTAATGGTCGGAGTAGCGTGATTTAAAGTCTGACCTTTGCCCCCACCTCCCAGAGCTGTTCCAGACCCCCCTGGGCAGGAGGTGAGGCTCGTCTGGGGGAGGGGCCGGGGCTATGGCGCACCGCTTCGCATCCCCAACTCTCAAGTGCAGCTGGTGGTGAGATCAGAGTGGGGCCTTGGGTTCTCCCCATGGCTCTCAGACACATGGCGTCCTGTACCTCTCTCTCTAATTCTGACTTGGTAGGCGGGGTGGGGGGCAGGAATGTGAGGGACCCTAAAGTCAAGGGGGGGGCATGTTGCTCCTGGTCCCCTGAGCTCTTCCTGCTGTGGTGTCCCCGAGCCGGCTTTGCAGTATTGGCCGGTGAGGAGGGCTGGGCGGCAGCTTGGCAGCACGCGGGAGTAGAGGGAGTGGAAGAGGGTGCCCGAGAAACTGGCTGGGCCCAAGCAGTAGCTCTTGGGGTGAGGGTGGGGGGATGCAGTTTTGTCCCAGGGGACATTTGTCAATGGAGACATTTGAGTGTCATGGCTTGTTGGTGGCTTTGCTGCTGTCCTCTTGTGGGTGGCAGATGGGTGCTGCCGGGCATTCTAGAAGCACAGGATAACCCGCGCAACCAAGACATACCCACCTTCGAGCGGCCGAGGAGATGGGGGCCCTGATCTGCGCTGTGCGTGGGGGAGGGGCACAGCCAGAGGGAGGCTCTCCAGGGTCCCCGCAGCAGCCGGTGACAGAGCACTTGAGGCTGCTCTGCGTCGGCCACCTCTCCCCGAGACACAGCCCTGGCCCGCCCCGGCTCGTGGACGTCGTTTTCCGGCCCACTTCCTAGGGAGGTGAACTGAGACTCCGCGAAGGCAGCCCTGAACAAGGGAAGACGCGTCCCAAGGAAAGCCGAGCGTCGGCCGTGCCTCCGTCACAGTCTCGTCCACGTGACCAAGTCCTGCTGGCAGGCACACGTGGGACCAGGAGCTTCTGTGCACTCCTTTCCAGGGCGGGACCAGGGCAGGAGAACTCCGGTTCTCTCGAGAGGAGCACGGAAGAAGCCGAGTGTGGAGGAGCCGTCCACCCGGCGGGGCCTGCCCTGGGCTGCCGGCCGGGTGCGAGCTGGGTGTGCGCGTGGGCTGGGCGCTCGGTCGCGCCCACGCCTGCCTCCTTGAGGTGTGCAGATGGCGGGTAAGGTGGGAGTGGGGCGGAGCGGAGGTCCATCGGTTGGAGCATCCGTGTTTCACCTCGGTGACTGCAGTGCTGTCCCCAGCGGGCGCCTGGGCGGGAGGGCTGCACCTGGCCAGGCGGGGCTGTGGGCCGGGGAAGGCCCGATTCCCAGCGAATGTGCTCTTGGCTCCTCTGTTTCCTCTGCTGCAAAAAGCGTTCCTCCCAGTTGTAATGTGGGGAGCACACACATCCCCCCCCATTCGGGTCCCCTTGCCCTTTCCCGCACGTGGCCACCTCCACCCAAACGGTCCCTGAGGTCCCTGAGCCGGTTCCTCAGGGCAGCGCTCCCTGACGTCGTGCGCTGGCTGTGGGCTTGCCACGGCCCGGCGCTGCTCCACCCAGCGATCTTGTCCCGCTCCTGTGGGCATTTTCACACTGTCCCTCGCTGTGTCCTCGCCCGCCTCCCTCTGGCTGCTTGTCGGATCCCTCCTTTCAGCCTCATAAAGGTTGGTGTCCTCTTGACGCTGGCTCGTGGCTGCTCCTCTCCACGGGACGCCAGGGCCTCCTGACCACTTTCGCCCCCAAAACAGCGTGTGGCTGGGGGGGCTCTGCATCGCCCTGGAGAGAGGCGTGTTCCCCGAAGAGGCTGGCCCAGTGCGTCACCCACTCCCACTGGGCGCCTCTGCAGGTGACGCTGAATCCCTTCAGCTGAGAGCTCCAGGCGCCTCCTCGGCCCAGTGCCCGCGGTCACCTCAGCTGGACATCGTCTTGCCCCCCTGCCTGACCTGCGTGTCCCGCACGCATCCAGTAACGTGACTGGGTCCCGGACTCCGGAGAGTGCCCCTCTGCAGCTCTCACTGCCTTCGGCGCGGTCCGTGTGTCTCTGCATTTACAGCTTCCGGTGCCCGCTTTGCCCCCCAGCCCCCACCGCGGGCAGCAGCTTCAACCCCCGCTCGCTGCTTCCAAGCCCCAGCAGGTCCCGTTCAAACACAGCGACCCAGACTTCTTAGTGGATGTCTCGCATCGCTTTCGGAAAGAAATGAAGGGGTGTTGCGGACTAGAGGGGAGCTAGATTAGGACATGGGGACCCCCTTCTCAGAGATGGGGGAGGGGGCGAGGGAGGGGGAGGAACTCTGGGCGTGGATTCCTTGGAGACGGAAGTAAAAAGTGGCGTGGATTACATAAACGCAGGCTTGGGACTCTGATACCCCGGAGCCCAGGTTTTATCAACAGCAGGAGTGGACAGCCCCATGGTTCTTTGCGTCACCCTGCCCGGCCCAGGCCTGGCCAGAGTCGGCAGGGCTGGGAGGCTGCCACTTGGCGCAGAGGTGCCTTCTTGTTTTCCTCTCTGCTGAAACCTTGACCCTTCCGTGGGCGGCGTTGCTGCCGTCTTTCCCCCAGGCCTCCGGCCTCGCGCTAGCACCTGGCTTCATGCTGCCCCACAGCCACTGGTGCCTGGAAGGGCCCTCCCTCCCCTGCCTTTCTGGAACCTAGGTGCTAGCCGGGACCTTCCCTTCAGCACGCATGGCTTCTTTGCCTGGCCTTGGGCCCTGCTTGCCTTCTCTGGTAACCCTAGCTTTGCTGCCTGGCATGCAGGGACTGTCACCCTTCTGTTGGCGCCAGAGCAAAGAGCTGCTGTGGCAGGTGCTGGGGTCAAGGGTGGGCAGCGGTGGCGCCGGGACTGCCCGTGCTGTCCCCTCCTCTGGGGGCCTTTGCTGGCCCTTCCCTCCCTCCTTGACTTCAGTCTCCCCACCTTGGGCAGAGAGCTGAGCCTCCAGGCCCCCCGACCTCAAGCAGAGGTTAGAAGTTGGCCCTCACAATCTGGAAACCATTTTGAATTCATCGCTCATGTTAAAAAAAAACATTGAGTGGAGAACATTTTTGAGAGAACAAGTGAGGCCCAGTGTGCTGTCTTGCATCTGCATGTGGAGGGAAACGGAAGAGGTTGTTGATGGTGGTGACCTGTTAGCTCTTCAGGAATTCATTGAAATGGTTAAAAAGAAACACCTTACAATTGATAAGGAGAGATCATGAGCAGGTACTGAAAAAGGAAAACGTAGAGATTTTGCCTCCCCATGCGGGTACAGAAAATGGGAAGAATTAGTCCCGTGGCCCCTGGAATGCCATCCATTGTGGCCATAACCGCTGGATCCTGTCTGGGGCCCCCTCCCTCGGAGGGCTCTGTGTCCTCAGGCAGGCCTGGCCGGGCCGGCCACTCGTGCCGTCCGCGTCCGCGGGCTCCGGAGGGGCTCAGGGGAGGCGGCTTATGGTGTGATTGTCTCCCCGTAGGACCCCGCTGGCCCTCAAGCAGGGCTGTCAGAAGCGGGCCTCCGGCGCTGGCCCAGGCGGAGTGGATGGTGCCTTTTTCAGGGTGAGCCGTCAGCCGATCCCCCGTGGCATCCGCGTCCCTGTGTCAGAACCACCGGGGCCTCCCCCCCACTGACCTCATCCGATGGAGTCGCAGGGTGAGAAGCCAGCAGAGCCCGACGGGGTGCGCGTCACACCCCAGCTGCTCAAGTCTCGCTCGGGTGAGTTCGCGCTGGAGTCCATCCTGCTGCTGAAGCTTCGGGGCCTGGGGCTGGCGGACCTGGGCTGCCTGGGGGAGTGCCTGGGGCTCGAGTGGCTGGACCTGTCGGGCAACGCGCTCACGCAGCTGGGCCCGCTGGCCTCCCTGCGCCAGCTGCTGGTGCTCAACGTGGCCGACAACCGGCTGACGGCGCTGGAGCCGCTGGCCTCCTGCGAGAACCTGCAGAGCCTCAACGCCGCGGGCAACCTGCTGGCCACCCCTGGCCAGCTGCAGTGTCTGGCCGGCCTGCGGGGCCTCGAGTACCTGCGGCTCCGGGACCCCCTGGCCCGGCTTAGCAACCCACTGTGCAGCAGCCCCTCGTACTGGGCGGCCGTCCGAGAGCTGCTCCCCGGCCTCAAGGTCCTCGACGGTGAGCGTGTGACGGGCCGGGGCAGTGAGTTCTACCAGCTGTGCCGGGACCTGGATAGCTCCCTGCGCCCCAGCCCCGGCCCCGGCCCCAGGGCCACCGAGGCCCAGCCCTGGGTGGAGCCTGGCTACTGGGAGTCTCGGCCCCCCCGGAGCAGCTCCATCCTGGAGGAGGCCTGCCGCCAGTTCCAGCACACCCTGCAGGAATGCCACGACCTGGACCGCCAGGCCCGAGACAGCCTGGCCCAGGCCGAACGGGCGCTCAGCCCTGCCAGCACCACCTCGTCCTTCGTGTTTTGAGTGTGTCTGCGGTCTGTGGCAGCTGGGCCCACTGTGGCCTGGCTGCCCGCCTCTGCCCCCCTGCAGCGCCGGCTCTTTGTTTCCCCGTGTTCCTGAGAGCAGCCCCCCGCTTCTCCTCCTTCGGGAACATTCCACAACTTCCCCTGTGGCCTCTAGCATGAGTAAGGGCCCTGTTCAAGGGGCACGGCCAGCATGAGGCCGTCCCGCCACCTCCACCGTGAGCCTGGGGAGGAGGCCTCTGGAGGGGACGGTCTACAGCCGCAGCCACCCCTGGCCAGAAGCTCGGTGGGAGAGAGTTGCTTCCTCCTAAAGCTAGGTGTGAGAAAGGCAGAGAGGGGGTGCGCGCTGGCCCAGCCGGTCCTGGGAGAGGAAGTGGCAGAGCCCTGAAGGTGGGGTTCGCCCACCTTCCCACATTGCCTGTCCCGGTGACCCCCTGCTGTAGTGGCTCATCCTGTGTCACCCTGGAGCCCTCGCTGCCTGTTCTCACCCACGCGGATCCCTATTAAATCTCTCTGTTCTAATAAGCATCACTGCCTGTCATTTTCTGTGGGTGAGCTTTGCTTTCCTGAGCGCGAGCACCCGAAGGCAAGACGAGGTCTCTGCGGCCCCTGGTCTCTCCTGCTCCCTCGGCTCTGCTGCTCCTGCGAGACCTTACTCCTGCAGCCGAGCTCAGGGGAAGGGGGCACGCGAGAGGACAGAACGAGTCTGGGAGAGCAGTTTATTGGCTCGGGATAATGGGCTCGTACTCCCTGGGCTCAGGGACGGCAGGTCAGTGTTGCACTGGTCAGCTCCTGCAGCTGTCTGGGAAGCGGGACAGAATTCTAGAGGGAAAGAGAAAGAAACCCAAGTTTTTGGGTGTGAGGAAGGCTGATTGGGTCAGTCCAAGCTCTTTTCCCAGGCTCCGAGTCCTTCCCCCACCGCCGGCCTCAGCCCCGCACCGGCCCAGTCTCCAGCCCCAACACACGAGCGCTGTCCCAGCTCAGTTCTGTCTCCCGTCCTGGGCACCTACCATCTCCCGTCGGGCCTCAGCTCGGGGGCAGGGCCTTGAAGAAGGCAAACTGTCCTGGGAAGTAGTAGCTGTGGGGGTCCTCGCCCGCGCGCTCCACCCTGCCGCACTGAGCCTCCTGGTGCTCCTCGGGCTCCTGCCGGCGGCGACAGCTGCTCAGGCCCAGGGCGCCAGCGGGTTCCGGGGAGGGTGTCCCCGTGGAGAGTACCCCTGGGGATGGTGCTTGCGTATTCTGTGGCACCCACCTCCACATCCCTTGGGGAATAGCGGGGCCAGGCCCAGAACCCCTCCTCGCCCCTCCTCACCCCTCCTCACCCCTCCTCACCCCTCCTCATCCCTCCCACCCTCCTCGCCCTCTCTGCACTTCAGTCTATGCTTCGGGCTCTGACCACTCCCACAGGACCAGCTTCTCCATCTTCCCAGCCTCTTCCCCAGCCTCCCCACCTCCCCTGCCCACTCTTACCCGGAGAGCCTGCGTGTGTATGGGGCAGTGGACCATCCGGCCGAGGACTTTATCTGCAGAGTTCAGTTTGATGCAGGCCAGGCATTTCCGCTTCCTCTGGGGAGGGGAGCATGGGGTCGGGAGAGGAAACGGGTCAGGGCAGGGGTGTTGCCCCACCAGGGTGGAAGCTGGGGGCTGCCTGCGATGGGGACTGGCCCCCCTGGTGGGTCCTAGAGCAGGGGGTGAGGGGTCATGCGGGCCAGCTGGCTCCAGGCACAGCCCCCCTGGGGACTGGGAGATTTCAGGCTTCGAACGTGTCTGGGCAGGACTCCTTCCCCAGATGGGTTCTCCCCGCCTGACGTCCACCTCGAACCACTTTGCAGCTCTGTTACATTTATTTGCGTGTTCTTAAAAGGCTTGATATGGACGCAAGTGTCTTGACATGAAGTCTGGAAAGTCACTGATAGAATCCAGTCCGTCCCTTAACAGTGGGAGGGAACAGGCCCTCAGAGCACCCCCCTGAGTCACAGGCTAGTGCTTGGAACAGCAGGACTGGGGACTGCCCACAGCCATGGGTATGCCCCCAAGGGGGCCAGTTACAGTCAAGCCCTGTGAGGAGTCAGCCTGGGCTGGGCCATCTCTACTCAAAGCCTCACCGAGAGTGGGGAATTCACCAGGCCTGGGGCGGGGGCAGCCAAACCCCCTGCCCTGGGCTTCCTCCACCATAGACCCAAAGCCCGAGAGAGAAGCCCGGACGGGAGGGGGACTCTCTCTGAAGAACAGATGTTCTCAGAGTAGCCCAGCCCTGGCCACCCACGGTGTCACAGGGCCCGGCTCAGACTGGGCCAGGTGAGCTCCCGGAGAGGCTGCTCCCCCGAGGGACCGCTGCTCCAACCGGGGCTTCTTGCTGGCTGTCTTCCTAAACCCCCGTCACAGACCCCTGCCCTGAGCAAATGCCCCATCTCTCCCTCTCTCTCTCTCTCTCTCTCTCTCTCACACACACACACACACACACACACACACAAGCTTGCAACTCACCCCGTTGGGCTTGATTTTGCACTCCGCTTTTTTCCAGTCCTTCTTCCGGCAGCTGGTCTGCTGGAGCTTAAATTCCAGCCTCACAAAGGTCCCTGCAGGGAAGGGCTGCCGCAGACAGAGAAGGGCCAGCAGCCGGCTGAGCTCACCTAGCAACCCCGGGTGTGACCCGTCCCTCCTCCCCAGCCCCCCAGGAAACAGCTGAGAAGGGGGCTGGGGTGTTGGCCTCTCCCTGGAGAACTGGGTATTCATCGAGCCCGAGGGCTTGGGCACCTGCTTTCTGGGAACGAGCTTGCGGCCCTGAGCCCTGTCCCGCCCCAGGCGACGCCGCTTGGCGAAGCCGCTCACGCTCACCGTTTCCGTGGCGCTGTCCACGCCGGTCTCCCTGAAGGCCCACTGGACGGGTGGGTGCTTGTGGAACTCTTCCAGGGCCACCTGCAGGCCGCGCTGCTGTGCTGCTGTGAGCTCAGCTCTGCCCAGGCCCACCGCGCCCAGCCACAGGGCCAGCGGCATCAGCAGCTGCCACATGGCGTCGCGTCGGTCCCCCCGGCCCTGCCGACAGTGTTGGGTTCTCAGCATTTCATGCCAGCCCGCAGCGCCGCCAGCAGCCTGGCCCCGGAGCTGGGGGGGAGCGCGGGGGGGTGCCTGACAGGGCTCCGGGCTGGGCTTGGAGGGCCAGGAGGTAGCCCTTCAGTCAAGATCCCCCTGGTATTCCCCTGGTCCTCGCATGCCTCCCTGCTCCCGCACTGTTCCCTGGGCCCAGCTCTGCCCATGTTTGGCCTCCTCCCGCGTAGGTGCTGAGTTGGCTTTTGTCCTCAGGCCAACAGCCTGGGAAGCCCTCCTGTTGCCCACTCGCACCCTTCCCCCAACCCGTTCTGGCCCATTCCTTCTCCCCCACTTTGTCTCTGATCCCCTTTCCTGCCCGTTGCTCTCAGAGCCCCCCCTCGGCTTCCCCACCTCAGCCTCTCCAGGTCTGCTTCTCCCTCAGCACTCTGAGCCTGCGGGCTCCTTCCCAGTCCTGGGAACCCTGGCCCCGGCACCCCCTTCTTCCCCCAGGCTAACTCAAGGGGGAGGGGCAGGATATAGAATGGAGGCCAGCTGGAGGCCAAATAGTTTTGGGAGGACGCAAACACAGGGGAGGGGCCCAGAGTGGGGTGGGAACCGGGAGGATGCTTAACCCTCCCTATGCTGGGGCCGCTCCTGATCACTGGCCCTACCCCTGACCCCAGACCCCGGAGTCTCACCTCAGCCCCACCATGGCTTTCTTCGTTAGGCAGCCCCTCCCTCCCTTAACTCCTTTTCTGGGGCCTTCCCACCACCCCTCTGCTAGACCTCCTGATAATGTCCCCTCATCCGTGACTGGGGTTGCCTGAGTCATGGACTCCCCCAAAAAACTCTGTGTGTACTGGTGGTCTTAGGACCAGAAAGCTGCAGATGTGGAAACGGAGGTCCCCTCAGGGAGAGATCTCAGGGTGTTGCCTTAAAACAAGGACTTACAGACGGGGTTGATAGATCTCACCCTTGGAGCTGCTCCCTTTGGCTGGTCTCCTTTCACCCGGCTGCCTCCCTCACCCTCTCTCCCCTCCTCACCTCTTCTGTGCCTCGGGGTCTCTGCTTCCCGTGGCTGACTCTAGGCCAGGCTGTCAGCCACTTCCTGCCCCCTCCACTCCTCCTGGTCAGCCCCCATCTCCTCCCACTCCCACCCCTTGGGCCCCTCCAGCTCCCAGCCTGCCCAAGGCTCCTCCCCACCCCATTAGGACCAGCCTCCTGGCAGACAGCCCTCTGAGACCTCCCTCCCATCCACCCACAGGCCTCCCAGCTGCAATCTTGCCACCAGACCTTGACCCCGACCCTGGCTGACTCTGGCTGACCCTGGCCAAGCCTGGCCAAGCCGCCCTCCCCTCCCCCTCCCCCTGACCAAGGAGCGCAAGCATCTGGTGGTCTTGACCCACTCTCTTCTCTATGAGATATGGGCTGCCTTGCCTGCCACCCCACCCCCGCCCCAGTCCCGCCTCTGTAGGGCTGCCTTCTTCTTCGGCTCTCCTGAGTGACCAGTCCCCAGAATCCTCAGACACACATTTCAGGACATTCTTCCCAGAAATACAGACATCTTCAAACCCCATGGGACCTTGAGGAGTCATTTGACCCCTTCCCCTTCTTCCCAAGCCCTAAAACCACACCAGGAAGGAAGGCCTCTCTTTGTCAGAGTGGATTCTGGTGTCCAGCAACCCCTGTATCACAAGCACACACAGTCAGTCTTGATCCTGCGTGTCTCATCCTTGCTGGTGAGAAATTCAGGGCTCTCACGTGGCTCCTGGGAGGCCACAGGCTCAGCGGAAGGGTGTGATGGAATTAACAAAGCTAGTGTGGGATGGGGGGAGCTGTCCAAATACTGCTCAACTCGCGTGCATCCTGAGCAAATATGAGTGGACCAGCCTGGCCATTTCTCCGGCCCCAGGCCCTGAGCTAATTGCCCAAAACAGGATCTCATTTACCTTCCCGAATCCTTAGTGACTGATGGCCCAGTGTTTGGCACAGATTTTCTCCCCGTCCCTATTAACCCCGCCATGGATCTCCACACGGAGCTTGTAGCTTCCTTCGCAATGTGCTCTGGGGGCACCAGAAAGACCCTGGGCTGCAGGAAGCTCGGACAGCTACCGTGGTTCCTTCCATGCCATCTTGTAGAACGCGTCCTGTATCTCGTCCCTGGTTGTCTCCCCTCCCATCTCCTTTCTCCTTGTGAATTTATACCATCTTACTCATTCACCGTTGTTCTGATGGCATTTTGGGAAGGAGTAGGGATAAACACGTGTGTGTGATCTGTCATGTTTAATCAGAGTCTATGAGTTACTAAAGAAGAAAAATGACTATCTCACTACTATATATATATATATATAGTGTGTGTGTGCCCCTAAAATTCATATGTTGAGGTCATAACCCCAGGTACCTCCAGAATGTGACTGTATTTGGAGGGTTGGACTTTAAAGAGGTAATTAAGGGAAAAATTAGGTCACATGGGGAAGTTGGGATGACTGATCCAATATGACTAGGGTCCTTTATTTATTTATTTATTTATTTGACAGACAGAGATCACAAGTAGGCAGAGAGACAAGCAGAGAGAGATAGAGGGGGGAAGCAGGCTCCCCGCTGAGCAGAGATCCCGATGCGGGGCTTGATCCCAGGACCCTGAGATCATGACCTGAGCCAAAGGCAGAGATTTTAACCTACTGAGCCACCCAAGGCGCCCCGACTAGGGTCCTTTTAAGAAGAGATTAGGACACAGAGGGAGGACCATGTGGAGACACAGGGAAAAGACAGCCACCTACAAGCCAGGGAGAGGAACTTCAGAGAACCAACACCGCCAACACCTTGATCTTGGACTTTTGGCCTCAAGAGTTGGCAGAATAATTTTCTATTGTTTAAACCACCCAGTGTGTGGACAGTCCTAGCAAACCTACACACACACACACACACACACACACACACACACAAACACAGGAAATCCTTTCCTAAGACTAATCAGGTGCTTTGTGATCAAAGAATTAGCTAGAATGGCTAATAGCTGAAAAAAAAAATCTAAATTGCCTTTTTGAGAATAAACATATGAATCCTGTATTTTATCTGGAAAAAATATATAAGAAATCAGGATGCCTTTTGTAATGTTTTAAGGTGGCGGAAATGAAACTTGGATTTTAATCAGTGGCTGTTTCTTAACATTAACGGGGGGTGCCTGGGTGGCTCAGTGGGTTAAGCATCTGCCTTTGGCTCAGGTCATGGTTTCAGGGTCCTGGGATCCAGCCCCACATCGGACTCGTTGCTTGGTGGGGAGCCTGCTACCCACTTCTCTCTGCCTGCTGCTCTGCCTACTTGTGATCTCTCTCTCTGTGTGTGGTCAAATAAATAAATAAAATCTTAAAAAAAATTAATGGGGCACCCGGGTGGCTCCGTCGTTAGGCGTCTGCCTTCAGCTTAGATCGTGATCCCAGGGTCCTGGGATCGAGCCCCGCATCAAGCTCCCTGCTTGGCGGGAAGCCTGCTTCTCCCTCTCCCACTCCCCCTGCTTGTATTCCTGCTCTCACTGTCTCTGTCAAATAAAAATAAAATCTTTTAAAGAAATAATGTACCATGAACATTTAAAAATTTATAATAACTCAAGAAAATTCAACAAACTGGGGGAAGAGCAAGATAGTGGAGGAATAGGAGACGGAAATATCATCAGGTCCCAGGAGTTCAGCCAGATAGTTATCAAACCATTCTGAACACCTACAAACTCAACAGGAGATCAAAGAGAAGAGCAGCAACAATAGTAACAGAAAAGTGACCACTTCCCGGAAGGTAGGACGTACGAAGTGAATCTGAGGTAACATTCGGGAAGAGAGACTGTGGGGGAGGGGACCGGCTCCTGGCAAGTGGTAGAGCAGTGGAGCACAAAATCGGAACTTATAGAAGTCCACTTCACTGAGAGATGTCGCTCCAGAGGCTAAGCGGGGCATGGGACCCTCGCAGGACAGCATGGTCTCAGAAACTGTGGGGTCACAGAAAGACTGGGGGTGTCTGAGTGTGGCAGAGCTCCCAGGTATCACAGCAGGGAAGCTGACTCCAGAGACGGAGCTGAGGTGGGGGCTCTCAGCTCGGGGTTACCTTAAACAGTGATCCAAAGCACAGTTGGGCCATTGCTTGAAAAGCAATGTAGATCTGGGGAGAGTCCCTCCTTCCTCCTCCAGGAGGAGGGGTGGGGCAGCACACTGAAGGAATCAGCTGGAATTGGAGACTCCAAATAGGGCCGTGTGCTAGAGATAGAAATGCTTGGTTGCAGGCCAGGTGAGCACGGAACATGGCCAGAGACCAGGGAGACAGGAGGGACTGACTGCTTTTAACCACGAGTCTTGTAGATAAGTAAGAAGAAAGGCAAAATATGTCTGGTCACGTAGTACGTGACCTATAGTTGAGCAAGACCAGACAAAAAGGATTGTCTGACTAACTGCAAGTGCTCTCCGGGAAGGGGAGATAACAGAAAGACGAAGCAGGTGGTGTTCCATCTTGAGCAGGCCAGGTGTTTCCAGCTGCTTGGCTTCAAGGACATGTCATCCTCTCCCACGGAGGCCTGTTGCTAGTACAGGTTTTTCTTTTTTTTTTTTTTTAAGATTTTATTTATTTATTTGTCAGAGAGAGAGAGGGAGAGAGAGCGAGCACAGGCAGACAGAATGGCAGGCAGAGGCAGAGGGAGAAGCAGGCTCCCTGATGAGCAAGGAGGCCGATGTGGGACTCGATCCCAGGACGCTGGGATCATGACCTGAGCCGAAGGCAGCTGCTTAACCAACTGAGCCACCCAGGCGTCCCAGTACAGGTTTTTCTTAAGGCTATCTTTAAGCATGCTTGGTGACTAGCTAATTTCTCATGGGTTATATTTTAAGTAATACATTGTTCTGAGGGACGGTTACAGGGAACAAGCATCAAAATCCAGGAGGCACAGAGAACCCGTCTCAGAATCAATAAAAATATGTCCACATCCCATCACCTAATAGTAAAACTTACAAGTCTCAGTGACAAAGATAAAATCCTGAAAGCAGCTTGGGACAAGAGGTCGGTAACATACAATGACAGAAATATTAGATTGGCAGCAGACCTCTCCACAGAGACTGGTAGGCCAGAAAGGACTGGCATGATATATTCAAAGCACTAAACGAGAAAAATATGCAACCAAGAATACTATATCCAGCTAGGCTGTCACTGAAAATAGAAGGAGAGATAAAAAGCTTCCAGGACAAACAAAAATTAAAAGAGTTTGCAAACACCAAACCAGCCCTATGGAAAATATTGAAAGGGGTCCTCTAAGCAAAGAGAGGGCCCAAAATTAACAGACCAGAAAGGAACAGAGACAATACACAGTAACAGTCACCTTACAGGCAATACACTGGCACTAAATTCATACCTTTCAATAGTTACCCCAAATGTAAATGGGCTAAATGCCCCAATCAAAAGACACAGGGTTGGGGCACCTGGGTGGCTCAGTGGGTTAAAGCCTCTGCCTTCGGCTCAGGTCATGATCTCAGCGTCCTGGGATCGAGCCCCACATCAGGCTCT